AGGTTATTGAAGTGTCATAACCTCGCAGAACTCTTCTGCGAGGTTACAGGCTGTGCTGTAACCTCGCAGAAGAGTTCTGCGAGGTTATTGAAGTGTCATAACCTCGCAGAACTCTTCTGCGAGGTTACAGGCTGTGCTGTAACCTCGCAGAAGAGTTCTGCGAGGTTATGACACAGCGTGTAACCTCGCAGAAGAGTTCTGCGAGGTTATTGAAGTGTCATAACCTCGCAGAACTCTTCTGTGAGGTTACAGGCTGGGTCACTAATGCGGTGGGCATTAGAGGCGGATATATGCAAGGGTGATCAGCTCAGAATAGATATAAAGCAGTTTGAATGCTTGGTTCTACAATCTGTCTGTGTATAAGAGTTTTGCAATGCAAGGAGTATCAAACATGTATTTATTCTGAGGTAATTGAGTTTCACCTGTAATACAGTGAGACCCCCACATGCGGACACCTTGACCTGCGGATGATTTGAAAAAAGGGAAACTTATTTCCCCAAAAGAAATCAATCAATGAAGCCCAACATGAGGACACTGACTTGACATAGGGACATTTTGTGATGAAATTGCAAATAAATTTCAGGCCAAATTACAAGAAACAGATATTTCAACCCTAAAATTGACGTAAAAAAAATTCTTGGGCATTTCTGTCACCAAAATAATTTACCATCCATTTAGCTAATTTTAAAAAATTACCTCCAGCATAGAGGGACTCCTACTTTTTACACTTGAATATTATTTTTGTAAATGCCAAAATTGCAGTGTACAGTACTGAGATACACTATTCAATGCTCCAAATGTTCTTATTGAGTTGAAAATGTATTCTTTCATTCAAATTCAAGTGGCAAACAATTTTTTTCAGGGAATTCAGAAGAATATTTCTTCCATAAAACACCAATTAAAAATTATATAATGCAAGTCTATGGGAAAACAAGACTTGACTTAGGCACATTTTGACTTGGGGACACTCTTGATGCACCAATTAGTACCACATCTTGGGGTCTCACTGTATATTAATCAAGTTGCATGGAATTGTTTTAGTTGAGTAGCTTTAAATATATTCTATTACATAACTCAATATGCAGTAATTCAAAGTTACTCAAGTATAGCCTTGTTTCATCCTACTTGAGATCATTCAGTAAAAACCTTTTCAAGTCAAATTTGAAGGGACCAGCAAAACAATTCGAGCTAGGTTTCAATTTAGGGAGACAAGGGAAAAACAACCTCTTTCTTTCTAATTAAATACTTTATTTTTATGTACTTTTAGACCCGTGCTAGTTAAAGTAAGGTGTTACGGTTTGTACTTATGTTAGAAGTGGAGTCTTGTGTCGTTTTTGTCACGCACAAAATCTCTCCGAAATCATAACTCAAGCTCATCTTTTTGGAAAACCGCAAACAAGGAATGCCATACTCAAAATCACACCCATCACATCAACCGCATGTAATAATAATCAAAGCCACTGAATTCGAACCTCCGTTACCAAGAAAAATAAAAGCTCGATTGCGGAAAATCAAAACAAAATCACTGTTGCTGAGTAACGAAGAAAAACTCGTAAACGAACTCCGGTAAATGCGTAGCCACGAAACACCTGAGTTTCGTTGCGGTCAGGTACCCGACTATAGAGCCTCTTCCGAACATTAGGCAATCTCGAAAGTGCATCCGAAGTTGCTGGAGGTCAAACAGAACCTAACTGACGCTTTTGTTTTAATTACGTATAAAAAGAGAAAATTATCTAGGCTTTCACGCATAAATCTCAAATGAAACAATAAAAAAACAATGAATTGTAGGGAGAATCTTTTGATGAATTTCGAAATCGATTGAAACAATCGTGCAATTTCTTTTGAGAAACTACTTCCTCTAGTTTCCAGACTGCAAAGCACAAAAATATCTTCGTTTTTCTATCGTTACAAGATATTGAGTACATCCCATCAAAAAAGAAACCCAGTGCGAAGTCTTCCGATTCTCAAGCAACGGAATTTTCCTCCAAAAAATCGTCTCCTACTGGAAAGTTGGAAAACCACTCTGAGACAAGGTACCTTGTCTAATACAGAAATGTTAAGATTTTCATCATGAGCACTGCCAGCAGAAAAGTCGTCAGTCAATAATTTGCTACATTTTTCATCTCCATCGAAGCCAGAGAGGTCAAAAGATTCGAAAACACACGACGGAACACGGAAAAAATGTGATGGACTGTCTTCAAAGCCAATTCAAATTTCTCATTAAATTTATTCAGGTGGTAATCTAAATAAATTGACACATTTTTTCCCCCTAGAATACTCACGGTTCCTGTAGTGTAGCTCTTCATCGCATTCACACGGAAATTATAATAACCTTCCCCGTAGGCAGTTCGAATTTCGGACGGTGCAGAGTCCCACAAAGCCTTCGCAGCATCAGTAATCCCAGATTCCGTAAAAATCCCCGTGGCTGAGAACGAAGAAAACCCGAAAAATCAACATGTGTCCCTTAAATGAAATTTCACTATCAACGCCAGTCCATGGGCTGATATCTCGGAGAAGGCTTGTAATCCGTTAGAGCTTTCATGTAGGCTTCAACGACCTCCAGTTTGTCTTGGATTGACTGCGAAAACAAAATTAATGCATATTTTTCTCAAAATTATCTAGGCTTTCACACATAAATCTCAAATGAAACAATAAAAAAACAATGAATTGTAGGGAGAATCTTTTGATGAATTTCGAAATCGATTGAAACAATCGTGCAATTTCTTTTGAAAAACTACTTCCTCTAGTTTCCAGACTGCAAAGCACAAAAATATCTTCGTCTTTCTATCGTTACAAGATATTAAGTACATCCCATCAAAAAAGAAACCCAGTGCGAAGTCTTCCGATTCTCTAGCAACGGAATTTTCTTCCAAAAAATCGTCTCCTACTGGAAAGTTGGAAAACCACTCTGAAACAAGGTACCTTGTCTAATACAGAAATGTTAAGATTGTTATCATGAGCACTGCCAGCAGAAAAGTCGTCAGCCGCTTATTTGCTACATCTTTCATCTCCATCGAAGCCTGAGGGGGTCAAAAGATTCGAAAAAATAAGAAGGAACACGGAAAAAATGTGATGGACTGCCTTCAATCCCTATTCAGATTTCTCACAAAATTCATTCAGGTGGTAATCTAAATAAATTGGCACACATTTTTCCCCCCTAGAATACTCACGGTTCCTGTTGTGTAGCTCTTCATCGCATTCACACGGAAATTATAATAACCTTCCCCGTAGGCAGTTCGAATCTCGGACGGTGCAGAGTCCCACAAAGCCTTCGCAGCATCAGTAATCCCAGATTCCGTAAAAATCCCCGTGGCTGAGAACGAAGAAAACCCGAAAAATCAACCTGTGTCCCTTAAATGAAATTTCACTAATTCAAAGGAAAAAAAAGACGGAGAATATCACAGAAGATTCACCAGCAACGAAGTTCCCAGGCTCAATAACGCTCACGTCGACTCCGAAGCGACGCATCTCGTAACGCAAGGAATCTGAGAAAGCTTCGATTCCGTATTTTGTGATGGCGTACGAGGATCGGAATGGAACACACATCCTTGCCAGTCCACTGGCCATATTCACTACACGACCTGAAAAATAAAAATTGCAGAACAGATGAGAGAACAAGACCGGATTTCCCTGATTTTCGTCCATTTCTTTCAAATCTCCAATGCCCCAGTAAAACTTTTTCGTTCCTACCTTCCAAATTTTTGCACAAAGCGAAAAGATAGTCTCGCAAATTTCACAAAATTAAATAATTCCGAACGCGCTAGCTGAACTGATGTAAAACAGATCCAACTCTAATTGAACTGACAAAAAAAAATGCGGATCTTCCAATAAACGAGCATTCAGTTACCTTTTGATTTTGCTGATCAACGGCAAGGGAAATTGCAAAATAGATGAGAAAAAAGCCCGGATTTCCTCGATTTTCGTCGACTTATCAAATGCCTCATACCCTTGGGAAAATTGCCTCGTTCCTATCGTTCGAATTTTCAAAGAAAACCGGGAAGATAATCTCGCAAATTTCAGAACACTCAACAATTTCGAAAGGACTGGCTGAAATGAGGCAATTCTAACATTCTTCTCAAAATGAACACGCAAGAAAATCATGGATTCCTTTCAATTGAACGGGCATTTAGTTACCTTTTGATTTCCGGATCAAAGGCAGGAATGCTTGGGTAACTCGAACGGTTCCCCACAAATTCACTTCCGTCAACCTGTGATAGCTTTCAAGGCTAGTGAATTCAACATCGCCGAAATTCGCAATCCCAGCGTTGTTGACGACGCCCCAGAACACTGCAATCAAGGTCACATCGCAGTCAGAAAAACACACACTTGCTTCCGAAAATAAAACTAATAGTTGCGCGGATAAACTCACAGCGATTAGCAGGAAGATTCGTGGAAACGTAATCAACAGCTTTCTTCACTTGCTCGTCGGAAGTTACGTCCATTTGCAGGACGTGAATGCCACCAAGTTTCGAGAGCCTCTCTGCTCCATTGTTATCAAACTGTCGGCCACGTCCGCGTTTCGGCGCAGAATCTTTGTGAAGGCATCCAGCGAAGACTAAAAATCCCTTAAATCAATTAGGAAAATTGTGAATTCAATCTTAACGTGAAACGAGTTTCATAGCCTTTCCTTTACCATTTTATGCAAATGAACTGCCAAATCCAAGCCGAAACCCGAGTCACATCCAGTAATGAGCACGGCCTTGTTACACGGAGAAACCTGTTGAGCATACTCATTTCCAATCAGCTTCAATTTCACAATTGGCAAAGAAGTCACTAACCTTTTGCAACGAATATAGATACTCGAGACCACAGAAAATCAGGACAAGAGAAAGAAATATTCCGAGTTTCGAGATATTAAACACTAAACCCAAAATAGGTCCAAGAACACCATCCGCAACCGCAGAGACCAGAGCCCAAAAAAGAAAGCGCTGGATCATATCTAAATCCAGCTTCATCTTATCCATGGTGTTCCCTGAAATTCAAAAAACATGATATCAGCCAAATCAATCCACTCAACCAAAGAAATAAATCATTAAATATTCGGAGTTTCCAAAAAAAATTGGGTTTAATCGCAAAGATAAAACTGCAATACAAAGTGGAAAATTGTTTTTCGCGTGATCCTACAAAGCAAGGTCATTAGTTCTCTGTCTTGACAAAATCTTTTGTTGCGCATTGGAACAAAGCATTTTCACACTCATGCATCAGACGATAAGTTTTATCATCGGCCAAGGGAGAGGAACACAAGAAGCTCTTCATTTTTTCCAGAGCATCCATGGCATCTGCAAAAGTCATCATTTTAAGCTGCTCAAAACCAGCAGCTTCCCCTTCAACACTATCATTTACATCGTTCGGGGAAACAAGTTCCTCGGATTCAGAATCATTCAACGCACTCGTCACTATTAAATTATCATCCACAGCAACGAAATCGTTAAAAGTAAGCTCGGGATCGAAACACATTGATGCCCACAGTTCAGATATCGCGGGATCCTCGGAACTTTCAGTGACATCAGGTCTTTCACCTTGGAAGCAACGGTCTCGCTGGAAAATCCTCGCCTGTTTCCAACACTTGACAATACTCGTACCCTCAATCGCATCCCAGGCAGCTGCAATTGTTTCAATGGCATCCTTGACAGTGAAATCGTGGCTAATTTTATTGCAAGCCAAATTCAACCACATTTTCCGAAGAACAGTTTTCCTGTAGTAAGCCTTCAGCCATCTAAAGATTCCTGTGTTCTGCGGTTGGAACACTGAAGTGGGATCCGAAGGTACAAACTCGACTCGCACATTCTCCAGCCAAGGGAGATGTCTGTGCGCAGAGCATTCATCAACAAGCAACAAAATCCTTCTCTTCTGCTGCTGCATGTCACTGTCTAACTCTCTAAGCCAATCACTGAAAATTTCTTGAGTCATCAAAGCCTGTTCACTGGCGTTGTAATCACACGGGAGATGAGCCACGCTCATGAGAGATTCTGGTTGGAGGGACGCTCCAATAACAAGTGGTCGACGCTTTTCTGTGCCAAGGGCATTACAACACAAAAGCACCGTCAGGATTTGCTTCGAAGTCTTGCCGTAGGTGTCATTTCGAAGGGGAAACACGTGATACGGGAGCAAACGATAAAATATTCCGGCTTCACCGGCACTGAAAACGTCTTTCGGATTGTACGCTGAAACTATATCACTCAACACGAAACGCTGTCCCTGAATGCTTTCGGCATTCGGTGCAGGATTCTCTTCCCAATCAATCTTAGCTGCGATGCGGTATCTTCGGCGAAACCTGCATAACCAGCCGGGACTGGCGCGAAACGTTATATGACCAAGAGAAAGCGCCACTTCCTTCGCTTTCGCCTGGAGAACAAAATTGAGAATTTTTGAAAAAAATGTTGCAATAGTTCTTCCTATTCGAAGCTGTCCGTGCAGTTGTTCTGCATTCATGCCTCCATCTGACAACCCAAAAATCAAGGTATGACGAATTTGCTTCGTTAGTCACGAAAGATTCCCTTTGGTTCGTTTTAACTTACGTGAGCTCCAACGAGGATTTAATTAGGTTACTGGGCGTTGGGTAAGAATTCAGGTCAGGTCAGCGTTGGATTTGTGTGGAGCTACATTAGACCTGATTTGTGTTTCATCAATGTCGATTGGCTACTGGGTTCAGTTATTTAAAAATCAGGTTTGATTCGTTCGGCGTTGGGCTAGACTAGTTTGGCGTTAGTTTATATTAGTGATGTAATAGATTAAATTCGTTGGGAGTAAGGTTGAGGTCGTTCGGCATTCATTTTTGTAAAAAGACGTTAGGTTAAATTTGTTAACAGTTGGGTATGTTTCGTCAGATCAATTTTCTAGGTGAGGTCAAGGCGTTCGATGAAATGAGTTAGACGCTTGGTTGAGTTAATTAGGTTGTAAATCAAGGACAGTAGTTGATCAGAATTATTGAACAATTGGCACTGACAGCTTCAACAAGGAAGTGAAATAAATCTGCAAATATAATCACTAGGACCTCACCCTGATACTGGGCCCGTTTACGGGGATGTTTTTGGAACAGGTTTCTTGATACCACAAAAAAATTGCTTTGTCAATGCCTTCGAAACTTGAAGTTCTGATGCGTTTCCGATGAGGACCAAGGCTCACTTCATTTACCTTTTCCTCGATTCTGGCACGGTCTTTGACCAATGCTGTCAAAGTGGATTGGGAAATACCGTAATTCAAAGAGACATCTTTCCTTGTCATTCCATTGTCGAGAGCAGCAAGCATTTCCAACTTTCGGTCAAGCGTGAATTGTTTACGCTTCTTTTTATGCGAATCATCCATCACTTCATCCTGCATAACTGCCGCCATAAAATATTCTGGAAAACCGGAAGAAAGTACGGTGCTTATTAACATCCAATTTTCCAGAGGAACAATCGGTCAAGCTCTCTCGTACTTCGTCATTCAATCCCCATATGAACGAACATTGATCTGCACGGAAATGAAATTTGTGGGATATCTTTTGCGTCATAAAAAAAAAATGAACGCGTCTTTCATCCGATCTCCTTCCTTGAACGTTCAGACATTCACGCTCGTGCATTCCTTTTCGGCGAATTCGGAAAAGTGCTTGATAATACAGTAGTTATAACTCTCAGGCCATATTCGGGAATCGTCAGAATCTACTGTATATAGAATCTTGATCAGAAAACATCTCATTCTTGACAGTTGACACAAAAGCGAACGCACGTTGGTCAACTTTGCGCTCAAAATCCTCCCTTAAATATACAGTCCGTTACAACGAATCTTGTTACAGGAATTAATTTAAAAATGGCAGAAAACCTAAAGAAAAATTCAAAGGTGCAGCATTCCAACTTCATCAAAGAAGAAAACTTTCTGCAGAGAACACTTGGTGTTCAAAAAATACACAACATGACGTATTTTCTTGGAAAATTTCAACTCCATTTTAGAATGTATGCCTTTTTTCAAATAACCAGCACTTCGGAAAAATGTTCCTCTATTTGAACTAGCAGACAACTACGAGTTAATAAGTTGAATCAGAAGGAAGCCCTGTTTTTCTACCAAATACCATTATGTTCAATTTTATTTTCCAAGAGAAGCAACAATTTCGTACAAAGGCTGGTTTAATGTAAGGAAAGTACAGTATCTTTTATTTCAGAAGTTTCCTCTTCATGTTCATCAGAAAAGCTTATTAATTATGATAGGTCTTGACTTATCTGCCTTAGAAGTAATTTGAAGTACAGTATTTATTGTACATTTCCCAACAAATTGCAGTTTAAAATTAGTTAAAAATCATGAACCTCGATTCAAAACATTTTTTGTTGCATCGAATTTATATCAGGTCCCCAGAAGTTCGTTGTAAAGAGATTTTTGCTGCATTAAAACTTCAGAATCATCAAACGATGTGAAGCATTCGACAATGAAATTATCGGAGATATACACCTTCAGAGTTGATCAGTGCATCATTGTGGCTCATCTCGAGGACGAAATTACTGACATTTTTGTGTAAGAAAGCATTAAAACTTGTAGTAAAGATAGCAGTATTTTAAGTATCTGCAACCGACATCGAATGCATCTCAGTCATTCACTTCGTCGCCAGATTAAGACTCCCACAAAGAGGGGCCAACGAAAAATGTGCCTCCCCGACGGGGAATTGAACCCCGGTCTCCCGCGTGACAGGCGGGGATACTGACCACTATACTATCGAGGACTCCTTGCAATTCAAGGCATTACAGGATGGATATGAACTACTGCACTTCAGTGATCCTCCTCAAATAAATAGTCCATTACAACAAATCTCATTATGGGAATTATTTTACAAATGGCAGAAAACATACAGAAAAATTTAAAAGGTGCAGCATTTCAACTTCATCAGAGAAGAAAACTTTCTGCAGAGAACTCTTGGTGTTCAAAAAGTCCACTTCTCACTCAAAATAATGAATTTCGAACTGCCACCAGAAATACCCGATCATCAGCTAAAAGTCATTTCAACCATTCAGCAAAACTAAATACGAACTTCAAAAATAACTAACTAAATTTAACTCATTGTATGAACTGTTTCTCCAACTCCTGAATTTTGCATATTTTTCTACCACGAAGAAACATTTCATAAGCACCACTGATGATACTGTACTGTAGTTTCAAAAGCTCTTCCGAGTGCCATAGTTTTCCTCTCAGAATCCTTCAAACCACTCGTTTCAATCACAAGCTTAAAAGCCAGAATCTGCTCATCCGTTAGAATTTCAACACATTCTAGCTCTGACTTGAGCCATTTCTTATCCGTTTAAAACTCCTACAATTTTCACTTCAATCCTTATATTAAAATTTTAATAGAAAACACCATTTATATTGGAATATATTTTATTTCCAAGTCTTTCTTGCTGAAAACTTGATAGTTCTCTACAGTATTAAAATTTATTCGTTAAACGCATTTTTTAAATCATAAATTACGCCAGTAGCCTCATTTTCCTATGGTAGTCGGAGTGAGATTTCAACTGTTCTACCTAGTTTATTCGGGTAAATAACAATTGAAACAGTGACTCGGAAATCAGGGAATACAGTGGATGTTAATCCTTCAAAAATTAATTTTTTTCTCGAAGACTCGTACTCGAGTAAAGAGGAAAACGCAATAATCTGAAAAAAGCCGTACGAACCGACGTCATAAGAGGTTACCTCATCATCAACACGCGGAATTCTCACAGCAATCGACGATTTCCGAAATAGCTCTAGAACACCGAATTGAGGATTACAACTCAGCACAAAACGAGACTCCTCTGCTGACACCATCTAACTGAACAAAGCCACGTGCAACCCGCCAGCGAATTAACGACGGAAGCCACGACTGCCACAAACGCGATTTGCACTCCACGTTGTCACCCACGTATTCACACTCACGCACTGCTCAAGCGAAAAATGGTTGCCCAACCCTATCCCTGCAACGACAAGCAGCGAACATTCGAAAGCTTCAGTGCATGCGACAACAACGCAGGCTCGTACCCCGATTGAATAAATGTGACAAGAATATACTACAGTATTAACCATTTTATTTTATTTTTTTGCTTCACACCTTTGACACAAGTATGATAAGAAAAAACCGGGTTCGAATAGAAACCGCCACGACGGAATCGTGGGTTGAAGAACACATGGAACGAGTTCAGTTTTCATGTTTTCGCGGCCTGAAGAACGTGTAAAATAACTTCGTCCACGCTTCTCCGTGTAAGTAAATCCTTCACAGCTGGGTCTACGATCGCCGAGAACATCAACGTGGCATTGTGTCGCAAACGCATGCTCAAGGATTTTACAACCTCCTCGGTCACCGGAAAATGGCCACAACGACGAATCACAGACTGGAGCAACTGTATGAAAATTGTACGAATACATCTGGACTTCGAAATTTACCGGAGTCATCCGGGCGAAGAAAAAGCTAGTTCTCGCACTACTGTATGATGTTCCGATCTCACTTCGAAAAATTCTCGTGCATTCAGCTCCAGGTTTCATTTTTACTTTTTCAGACATAGATTTACAGTATTTATTTTTCGGCACTTTCGCCGCTTCAGGAATTTCCTACTAATTGAAATCTTCATGAACTTCAGCAAAAGCTGAAGATCATAAAGGTTTCCGTTAACTTAAGCAAAAGCTGAAAATCCCCAGAATCGGAACACGTAAAAAATGCAAACTTTTCTTCGGCTCATGAATTTTTTGGACACTAACTATAAATATGCATGTGTATTAGTTAGAATACAATAAATAAACACACAGAACAGTAATTTGAGTTCCATCACTGAATGAGCCCTTTTTTGTACTGAAAATTGAGCTGACATAAAATGCGATCTACTGAACGTCGTAAGCCGCGAACATCACTCTAATAAAGATTCTTATCGCTGCCATTTCCATAGTAATGGCATAGACACATTCATGATGAGAACGGATTATCTTTCCAAAAATTTGATCAAATGAATATTTTAAAATGCAGAACGCACCTCGTCACATCCGTTTTTGGGCCAACCGAGGTCTCCCAAGATGGTTTCCTCGACCAACAAGGATATTAGCTCACTTAATGAATATTCTAGTTCTTCGGTACTCATAAAATCTCCGTTCTGCAAAAATAAAAAAAAGAAGATTTTGAATACATTCTTCTGATGGACGGAACGCTTCTACGAGGATATTGCTACTGACCTCCTGATCTTCTTCCAGATCATCCGCCAACATATCACATTGCTGCTGATCTTCTTCGTCGAACGTTTCGAATTCATCCCTGAGAAACGCGTGATCTACAAGAATACACTTTCAGATAAATTCATTTATCAATCTTCCAATTCGAGAACTAACCCGGTGGTGAATACTGATCGTCTTTCGGAGGATCGACAATATTTTTCATAAAATTACTAGAAATTATTTTCTTTGTCGACAACCGATGAGCATTCCCGATCACTATTGGCATCTTCTTTTTCGATAATTCTTCTGAACTTGACGTGAGATGCAATCCAACTTTACTTGATCCTCGTAATTCTTTGCGCCTCAATTCGTCTTCCTCGTCAGTGTTATCATCGTCGGCGTTTTCGAGGTGTCCCGTGGAAGCAAGGAACGATAAGGCATCTTTTTCCTCTTGTGACTGAATGATTAAATAAATCAGTTAAAAATCGAATACTTGATGGTTCTTCATCAAATCGAGAAAAAATAGTCACTTCATTCGTAAGAATTTCGGTTTCCTCATAATTTGACATTTTTAGAAGTGCTTCCTTGTGCCGTTTCACCATGTGCTTCAAATAGAACTTTCGGATCGCGAAGGACTTCTTGCAAAGTGTGCATTTTCGATGGCTTTCCTAAACATAAAAATATTCATGCAGGGAAATTCGATATGGCAAACAAATTCCAGAATTTGACAGAAAGATGAAAGAAATCCAAAAGTTATTTGTAGAAGAAGGAACTGATTAAATTTATTCATGTGACGCAATCTTCTCGGTCTGAGTTTATCTGCGATGGTATAGGTGTCGCTGCAGTTATATACGCTTCATCACACTGGCTATTAGGATGAATTTCAGGTGTCGGCATTCGTTCGTTGAAATCAAGTAAGTAAAGCTTGATAAGGCAAAATCGCTTGCGTTTGATTAATTCTTTACATTTGATTAATACAGCATACGAGGCGACAGCTGCCTGACGTAAGAAATTTGAAAAAATTGGGCGTGAAGAAAATAGGAAAGAAAAACACTAACCGGATGACGAAGTTGGACGTGTCGCATCAACGAACATTTCAGCGTGAATGTTCGCTCGCAGATCGGACACTTGTAGGCTATAAAAATATCGGAATAGATTCTTTCAGAATTTCCGTCCTGTAAAAAAGTGATGTGAGGACTAGTATCATACCTGCGATTGACTCATGATACATAAGATGCTTTTTCAGTAGATATTCAGAGAAAAATTGTCGCCTACACTGTGAACACTCAAACGGCTTGACTTTCAAGTGCACGAACTTCACGTGTTCCTCCAATCGAACTTTTCGTTTGAACTTCGCTTTGCATGATCCGCAGTTGTATTCGAAATTTCCTGAAAAATCGATATACATCAAAATGCGGGGAATTTGCATATGCATTTATCAGCAGCATATGAGTTATTTCTCACCAGTATGATGAGAAAGGTGCTCTCTCAATTGAGACGCTTGAATGAAAGACTTCCCACAACGCACACAAACATGCGGTTTGTTTTCAGCATGCGTTTTCAAGTGCCTCTTCAAAATGCCTTTAGTTTTGAATCCCTGTTTGCAGAGACTGCATTCATATGGTCGGCTTTCGACGTGTATTCGCGCATGGCTCCTCAAACTCGACATACTCGCAAATTTACGCTCGCAAGTTTCGCATCCAAATGGTTTCTCTCCGGTGTGCGTTCGCAGGTGTAATTCCAAACAAGTCACTGAACCTGCTATTATTCGGCCACAAATGTCACAGCTTTGTGTTCTTCTTGGCTTGCTTTGTCCAGCATGCGAACGTAGGTGTTCCCTCAGGTTATCTTTCCGCGTGAAATTGTTTCCACATATCTTGAAAATCGGCATAAGATAGATAGAATCCATCAACGATACGGCACAAGATTCATTGGATTTACCACTACACAGAAATCGGAGAAACCCGAAGTGATTCATCAATTAATCATAACCAAAATAAGGATAGTATAGTATTATTCCAATTAGACAGGGTGTCTAAATAATTACCGCTAATTCATGTTATATTTTTCCTTTTTTATTCAAAATCTGATTTCTCCGCCGCATTTTTCTGTCAAGAATTTTTTTTTTAAGAAATAGCACTGCAGCAGAAAGCTATTTATGTGTTCAGATTCTTTAGTGAAACTCCAGCAGGGTGACTATTTTGACACAGAAATAGCTATTTTGACAACCATGAAATCAAACGAATCCCTGTGATTTTTAAATGAAACGCCTGCAGGAGTGCAGGGCGACTATTTTTCACAAAACACTGTACTGTAATTGCCATTTTGACACAAGATCTCATGCATACCGGCTGGCATTTCACTCACGAATTTGAACAATGAGTTGATCATTTTGGCACAAGAATTGCTATTTTGACGTACAATCACAGGCATCCCTGCAGGAATTTCACTGATGAATCTCAACACTTGAATACAGTAGTTTTCTGACGCATGGCTACTTATTACCTATTCAGAACTTTGTCAGACGACGCGTAGTACATCCGTTTCACAGGAAGTTTTCGATTCAAAAAAAGTAAAATATTTCATACATAAACTTCCAAGCATTTACGAAAATTTCATCGAAGTAATTATGTAAGTAGACAAGTTGACCGAGCCACGAATCCAGGCAACATCTTGGAATCATCGATCGCATTATTTTTTGCTCGGAACTTCAATTTGAGGCGAAAAATCAAGAAGAAATATTTTTAGCTAATTACCTCGCAGGAAAAACGAGCTCGCTGTACAGTGCTGGATTTGCAAATTCCAAGCGTCGAATGACGAGCCAAATGATATTTACGCGAAAAAGCTTTCAAACAGTTCTTGCACTTGAAGGGCTTCAGTCCAGTGTGAGTATACAGGTGACGCTCCAAAATGGTCGAGTTACGGCAACTAATACCACAAACCAGACAAACATGCTTGTCCGGACCATCATCATTCGCACCTTGTTCAGTCTAAAATGAGAAATGCATAACTTTCCCATATAAATTAATTTTCTAAAATATTGAAAGCACGGATCAACTCACCGTTGTTTCAGAAGCCGTGGCGTCGCTTCCGATGTCAACTCCTGAAATACAAATAACAGAACAGTTAGATCAACGCATTATTCAATTTTAAATTCGTATCTACCTCGTGCTCTTCCGACGTCAATCACTACATCGTCTTCCAGAAAATTTGCATCCGCAGCTTTTGCTTCCACAATAATCCACCCACCCAAGTCAAAAGGCTTCATGGGTAAACGCACCTCGCACCAGAGGCCGCGAATTCACGTTGTTCACACAATGGTCATTTAACCACATCACATCTTTACTTCATCTGGAACAAGAATCCGAGAAGTAATTCGAAAAAAAAGGCACAGAACAACGCAACGAAATTAATCGTGATCAACGCGTACTCATTTTCCAAAAAATCGTGTCTAAAAAGCAAGGTGCGAGTCATTTTGATGCCAACCTCAAACGCATTTCCACCAGGTTCGTGAAAGAAAAACAAACAGAATTGCACACGAAGCACACACGGAAAACATGATAACCACATCCAACATATTTTGAATTTTAAATGCCGAACTACACAAATCTGATAATGCTGGAGAGCTGTATCGGAAATTGAAGGATGAAGCTTTCATTCGAGTCTAAATTCAGCCTTTTTGGAACTTTCTTTCTGGAAGTCCTTAAAAATTACTGTTTATTCATCAAAATCATGCATACCCTGTATCATGCATGACTAGCATTTACAAATCTGCTTTCAGATTGGATTAGGCCTGACACAGAGTAACTGGAATAACTTTTTACAAATGGTTTCATGGAAGAAAACTCTGGCAAAGGGACAATCGAAAGTTTATGCGTTCAGATTGGTTGAAAAACAAGAAAAGCATTTCATACAGTAGGAACCTTTCAATAACCGACGTTCGCAGCGGGATTCAACCGGGTTTCACCAGGTCTTCTGTGCACGCAAACCTCTGCAACAAAGACCGTGAAAAATCGCACGTCACACGCGGCCTTCGAAAAGGGCAGCCTATTCTGAGACTTGGTCAAAAATAAACCAAAAAATCGGAAGTTCGAGGGGGAAGTTGGCAGGATGAAACTTTAGAAAAAAAAAAGGCGCCTGTATCTGAATAAAAGGAACTCTGCAGAATTTCTCACGCAATTTCTCACCCTCCGGTCACCGACCGCACACTAAGGGAGAAATCACGCGTGAAATCCTCATTGCTTTCTACCTGTACCATGGAAGAAAATTAAGGTGAGGTATAATAAGGAATTGACTATTGTCCAGAGCACAACACACGTTCACGTAGGAGATATATATATTCTCAGCACCAGGTAATAACTTGGAGAGTCATCAAGAAGTCACAATATAAAAGACTATGTCATCACTTGTCAAGGATTGGAACCAGACACTCCGTCTACCGCGTCGCGTCCTCCGATGTTTCTCCAGATTGTAGGGAAGATGACGATTGTACGGGTGGGACGCATGGACTGATCCGCCAGTTACCCCTAGGTGTCGCGCATACGTGTAAGTGTGAGCCCTTACTGTATTTTCTCTTTGAAACCCCTGCCGTTGACCTCAGCCATACCCGACCGCCAAACATTTTTTAAAAAATTATTATGCTTTCGCGCTGGATTTCAGGGTGGTTTCTTCAAAGAAATTTTTCGTTCCTTATTTGTCGGAGTATATACCGGCTTTTTTTTTCTGAGGTTGAACATGTATTGGAGTCTCAGCTAACAAATGCCCTTGCTAATAACGTACTTTGGGATATAGGGATCAATCGATCAATCTGGTAACTATTTCTTAAGGCATAAGTTCGAAATTTCCCAGAAAAAAAAGGATTGAGATTTTTTTATAATTCAGCTTACAAACACTCCAGCTAACAAATATTGTGTTGCAAAACATGTCGTTTGCTATCAAAGACCCCCTTGCATTACAATTATTCATGCCTGGCAACGATTCAAAGTTCTCGTGATTTTTACGCGTGAAGTTGTAACTTTGAAGCATACGGCCAGACAATAGGATATTTTTTGTTGTACTGTACTTGACTGCTTTTACTCAATTAAAATGTAAACATTTTATTTCTAAAGACTTTAGTATGCCTCAAACCTGCTTATTTTCGAAGGAACTTTCAGAGCACAACGTCATGAACTTTCAATGATTCAATCTTCATAGTTTCTTTTTCAAACCACAGCAGCCTCAATAAAAAGACGTGATAGCATGGTTCCGTCACACTTTCTAAGATATTGGAAAAAATATTACAGCACCCACGAAACATCTAGAAAAATATAAGATATTCCAAAAAATCGTTCGTGGTCTCCTTATTGTCTTTTTCACGCCTATAAACCATCTCTCTTTCACCTTTTATGACTGCAATCTGAATATTGTGGCTACAAGCATTGGCATTGTTTGCTGGATCCTCGGTTCGCACAAATCGGCACGTTCGAGTAAAAAGCAAGGCAGTCATTGCAGGTGGAAGAAACTAAAAGTGCTTTTCCTTTGATAATTCTCAAACCTTACAATAAAATAAGGGAACCATTGTACTGTACTTCATGCAATGCTTCGCAGAGCGAGAAAAAACTTAATTGCATTATTCATTTTGGGTGAAAATCTTCTCCTTGCTGAGAACAGTCGAAAATTTGATTTTTCAACTCCTGTGTTTTCTTCGATGTACGTCCATCAGAAGCTTCAACAAAAAATGATTTAAAATCGGATTCGCTCAATTTCCGCAACCCATGATCCAAAATGAAATTGCGTATATGCTTATACTGTACTTTAAATCGGTTCGGAAAATTGAAAATCCCAACAATGGTGAAAAATTAGATTCTCTGCATTTCCCAAGCAATTCACCAGGACTCTTGAAGGGCAAACAAGATTCTTCGATTTAAAGTTGTAAATAATGAATGGAAGAAGCCGCAACCCAGATATTTTTCACATACTGTACACGTAAAAACGAGGGAGAAAATAATAATATTGCAAAAATCTCCACGAAATCGCCCGGCCCGACAGCGTCAGTCATCGCCGATCTCATGACGTGACACGTTTTCAGAACACTCTTATCAAAGCGACTTAAAGTCTTCCAAAAAATCGAAATATTCACAATGAAATCACCTTCAACACCTGAAATTCGATCGAGGCATATCGATTATCCGTGCCCAAAATCTTAATTGCACCAGAGGGGTAATATTAATACAGTATGCATAACTGATCTTTGAGTAGCTTCAAAAGTTTGTCGAATTGTTTCTAGAATTTTGGTAATACAATATCACATCAGGTTATAATTGTGAAGAAAGATTTCTCATATGCTCAGTTATTTATTCATTTTTGATTACAGTATTCGTAACATTCCATCAACCGGAATAGACAGACGGCTAATAATTGGGGATAATCGACGTTTTCCTCTACTGGAGCATCCACTTCATTCCGAATAGAATTCGTGCTGGACGGTATGATATGAAGGTATTTCTTCCATTATTGATCCCTTCCATCGATGTGACGAAGAAAATTGGAACAATATAAGTTCGTCCCATGGAAGAAACTTGCTTCACATTTTCGACACCGCCATGAGCAACTGGTTCACGTCGTAGCTCATGTTTCGGATCAGATTCTCGATCTGGTTCTTGGAGTTGAGGATCTGGACGCTTTCCGTGTAAGGGTCATAATGAACCATAAACGGTCTCTGAATCGTCGTTGCGTATTTCCTGTTGGGATAAGTAAGGGATCAAACTTTTTTCTGTTTAACGTCAGACGTTCGTAAAAGTAAGTTCGGATTTTTAAAGGCTCTGAAGAGGTACCCGCCGTAGAAGTCATTAGCCGACGGTGAAGGAGCTAATTTTGACAATGAAAGAAACACGCTCGGTTTCTTTCGGAACGATGAATCCCACGCTAGATTTGATGTTGTTTGATCACATTCCGATTCCCGCACGGAAATTCACGCGATTCATTTACCCAAAAAATAGGAACTAAAAATGTCTCATCAATAATAAACTTAAGAATCAAGTTTTGAGACTCAGACAAGGTTATAAATTCTGCCCTGAATCTCGTACAAGTACGCTTCTAAAAGATATTACTCCTAAATCGCATTCTTTGTCCCATTACTGACATCCTCAAAAAAAGGACAGATAAGTAAAAATGAATAAAGCAGAACAAAAATTAATTCATTAAGCCGAGAATATCATTCTGACGAAACTACAGAAGCTTATTCTTGGGCGAAAGAAAAATCGTTGCAAGAAGAATCGGGTTATAGTCTCTTCACCAACTCAGATAAAATCGTTTATGTGAAACCCTGGAGGTGGTAAGAACTCTGAAATTATTTCTACATGGGTTTTTGTTGCGAATTTTTTTATTCATTTGATGAAACCGTTCGTTTTTTAGGAAGACTGTAAAACAATTGCAAACAATAGGAGACATCTCATTGCCAAGTCATGCTTAAATGATTCCTCAGCATTAGAATGATTGATGATCCATAAAATTATTCTCAATATCTATGTTTTATACACGTGGTTTGAGACATAAGCCTCATTTTACGAGCTTTGGTCTGGGCAATCCATGCATTGGCAAAAATGTACCCCAAAATATTTCACGGAGAGAATTTGATTTCGGAAAGAGAAAAACGTAAGGATATCACAATTCAACAAAAATTTTCGATTTGAAACATTTGTCGGTGGGTTTAACATTCGTCAAGTGTTTCAGTAGTCATTATCATACAAGGAAGGAAAACTACATGTTTTAATTTTCGAAAGATAACGAGAGCCTCGCCTCAGTTTGTCTTGGGCGTCGTCGAAGCTTTCAGATATAAAGTAAACAGATTGCATCTCGGTAATCGGATATTCCTGAACGCCTGTTTTGAACGGGTCAAACGGCAGCTTCTGCGGCTTGTCTGACAAGCAGTACTGCAGCTCTTCGAAGCTCGACAGCAGCCCGGCGCCGTATGCCCTCACTCCATCCGCCTCTCGGCAAAGCCCGAACTCGATTGTGAACCAGTAGCACTGGAAGCGAAGTTACATCAAATAAGGTACAGTAATTGGAAAACTAAAATCTACGAAAAACAGAAGATTCCAAGCAAGCAGGAAGACATGACTGCGCATCTTTTTCAGGAAACAAATCGTATACAGGCAACTAAGAATCGAAAATCGCCAAGCGCAGCTGGGAAATATTTTTAGAAGCGACATCTAGTTAAACAATGAAACACACTAGTATATTCTTCATAACGCAGGTGACGCAGCGTAATCGATAATGCCCATGCACGTCTGAAGCCGCTAATCTCTTCGGTTTCATATGTAAATGTATTTGGAAAATACAGCAGTCATGTTTTGAAAACAAGGCAATAAGATATTTTTACTTCACAACGAAATATTTCAAGCTATATTGTTATTCAAGATGCACAGTGCTGATGGGAAGATCGATGATCACGTGTTATCAGAAGACCGTACGAACCTTTCCTATTGCCGTAAAAGTTGATCTCACTTTCATGCGATAGCCGCTCACTGGGTATAAACGCAAAATGTACTCAATAATTAATTATTTTGTATATACAGTACAGTACTGCACTGATTATACACTTTCTTTCTTGAGGATGATGAATCATTCGCAAGGGTTGCTGTACTGTATATGCTAATCTTCTAGGCAAGTATAATCGAGGAAAAACATCGAAAAGCTGCCACTGTTTTAGAGCGAAGTGTGTTCAAATTGTCTCATATAGATACCGTCGCAAGCTTTTCGACGTCTTCGTCCGGAGCACCGAGGGACGCCAATCCAAGTTCTTGCGAAAATTTTGCAAACGCGGGATCGGCGAACAAAGGCACGTGTCCCAGTAGTTCGTGACAAACGTCGGGTTCGGGTGTGTAAGACGGAGCAGACGGATGTCGGATGTATTGCGTTGAATGAAATACGCGGAAGGCCAAACCAGCGAGAAAATCTCGGGATGACAAAAGCCCAGCAACCGGGCGCAGAGTGAACCCAGTGCAACCTGAAAATTAAACACCGAAAAATGGATACCCTTGGAAATTCCATCCGAAAAACAGTGCTTCTTCCCGAATACACCCAGCACATCAAAATTAGTTTCTGAAATGCCCCGCAAAATTCACTTGACTTGAAACAATATGGATAAAAAAATCTATCCAGACAAAATCTCACCGAGCCAAATGTAGCCAGGCATTTAGGAAAGCAAGTCAAAACACTGGCTTAGAATTAAGGAAATGCAAAAAAAATCAGGGTACATCTAAAATTACGGGTTATTTGCATTGGACGCTGCAAATATATGATTTAGGAAAAAGACCGTACTTTGACGATGGTAGATTATTCGAATATGGCGTGACCTGAATCATTGACCTCGTTCTGGACGAAGTATATAATCGAATGAAATTAAATTACCTAATCAGATTGAATATTACTTGACCTTAAATGACCTACCACTAATTAACCACTACGCATACAGCGTGGCTTTAAAAAAATATAATATAATTCAGGTCACACGGATAAGTAGTACTGAAAATAAATCAAAAGTTCAGATTTTTCAGGGGTTAAAGGGAAAGGTTATAGCAAAAAATCACTTATTTTTCAACGATGGTACATTAAATAAATATAAATAAGATTTTTCGAGAGAAAACGAAAGTAAAGTGATATTAGTATAACATACTTTTCAGGAAATCCGATACACCCTGAAGTTGTGGGATATTATCCTCCCTGTAGCCACAATTCTCGATCAAGAGCGGGAAAACATAATTGAATTCCTTGCAAGCATGAGTCTTGTACAAATTCGTCAAGGAGTTGAAAACCACTCCCCAGGTCTTGATTTCTTCTTCGGTGTAATCGATAGTTGGGATTTTTTCGCCACTGCAAATCGTATCGAAAAAATTATGGTTTCTGCGTGAGCTTGAAGTTGAGGAACATCTCACTGTTTGTAGTTGAATGCGATGTCTGCAAAAAATTTCCTGCGTTGCCGATAAATCGGATCCGTGAATCCCGGGTGATCCGATTCCAATTCTGCTCCGTATGACAAGATTCGGTCGGAGAATCTGTCCAAATCCATGATTTTTTCGGGAAACCATGGAACTGCATCTGAAAAAATTCAAGAACGTCTCCGTTCCTATTTCAAATAAAAAAATAATGGGCGAAGTATCCAACAATTGTTTATCATCCCAACTAAAGTTCTTCGGTTCGGCTGATTTTATCTCCACGTTGAAACCATGTATGAAAGTAAATAAAGTCCTCGTCTTGAGAAATACATTTTTACCCAAAAAGAGGGTTTCAGGAAATTAGGACGTTGCTTCCACCTTCTCAATAAATTTACATACCGGTACCTTGATTTCGAGCAATTCAAACTTTTCTTGACAAAGGAAGGAAAATTAATGAATTATTTACTATTAGCTGAAAAAGTACGTTTGGCATTTATAAAAAACAATCAAGTGCATGTTGCGATTATCAAAATACATCAAAATATACTCTTCCAGCATCCTAATGAGGATCCTCTTCAATGGTTTTTAATTTCCAGTAAATTTGACGAGTTATTGTTATATATAGGAATAATGAGATCATACTCTTCAGAAAATTTAATAGACGTGAAAGTGTACTTTTTGGAAAATGAGCTCCTATTTTCAAACTTTGAATATGTATGTCCGTCGCATTCACCGGTGTTCAATTTTTCAAATGAAAGCAATGCCGTGTTTACTGTAATGATGTACTTAAGATGGAAAGCCATCTTAATGGAATGCGTCTTAAATAAATTACAACTTTCTCTTCCAGCTTGAATAAGTTTTTGGGTTTTCGCTTCACCGTATTTTTATTTTTTTTAAAGATCAGTAGATCATAGATGGCGAGAGAACCCTGAAAATGGGTCGTTAGGTTTTTGATGATGCATTGTCTCCATTCTTAAATGCTACGTAACGGTGAATATCGAACCTTGATTTTCTTAAAAGACCAAGGTACAGTACTTGAAGAAATGCAGTTTTCGAGTACAGAGTTTTTTCGAAGATTCCAAACGGTTAAAAGAAGTGTTCTCTCGTGATTACTCCTGGATATATTAACTTTAATTACAGTTGGGCAATCTCTGCATTGCATTTCAAATCCTGCTGTAAGGAAATGGAAATTACCCGAGTCAGTTTTTTCCTCGTCCTCGGTGATGTATTGGACATGGTGACTGATTTCCTTCAGATCCTTGACAGCTTGCTCCACATTGCCCTCGGTGTGATCGCACTCGATCATGAAGTCGTAAGAATCCTCGGGGCGGCGTTTCGAAGGCCGCGACTCGATGTGCTTCAAGTTCACTTTCTGCTCCTGTTTTTTTTGGCATTATTCCCACCATTACTCATACAGTAATTTCAGAGTCGAGTGGTTCGTACACGCGATTTTACTTCGCAAAAATTTGGTAAGAATATTTTTTCATCTCAAAAAAACAATTTTATTTTATGAATTTTTACTGATTTGATTTGCTACCTTTTTCAATTGAAAAGAGATGTACATTCCAAGGACAAAATGCCAGAGTAAATTTTAAGCACATATTTCAATGTGAATTGTTAAATCAAAGACAATTATTTCTGCTTTCAATTTAAAATTGAATGGGTCTCAATTCTGGCAAGGCCCGCTGAGAGGAGGGAAGAAGCCTCACCCATTTCCTAAAATTGCTTTACTGGTGTTTTGAAATTAAAGGGGAGTTTTACTACAGTGGAAGTACATGCAATATTAGGGTTAGAATTCTGGCAGAAGGCTACTATAGGAAGTGGATATATATATGATTAAAAGTGATATGCTATCAATGCAAAAATTGATCATTTAATGCAGTCCTTTGTTGAAAAGTGACCAAATATGGCCGATAAGCACCTGGAATATGTGACCTGTGACAATTTGCATTATGGGTCCAGATTCTGGAGCAAGCCCACTATAGGAAGATGGGTAGGGTGGGGGGGCATCCTTCAACTTTTAATTATACCCAGCTGTCATTGCATAAAACCCTGTCATAAAAAACCATACCAGCACATGTCCTTTTTACTGGCCAGGTATGGCTATAATAACAAGCTAAAATATATGACTTGAGAGTCCAGAAATGATATAAGGACAATAGCTCTGGCAAGATGGGCATATGCCCAGCAGGATTACAGGTGGATATTAAAAATGTCACCAGTTGTAAGCATATGGCCCTGCAGCTTCTATTAAGACACACATCTGCACTGATCATAGAATATCCTAAAAACCTTGGTAAGATTCTAAACATGATGCCCAGGTGTGGCTGGGCACCCCCAGCTTGTAATGATTATAAAAATACATAATGTAAGATGTGTTTTTCAAGGTCGGGAGAAAGCTTTTTCGTGGCTGGTTCTATCCAATTTAAAATAAAAGATATCCGTGATCCAAAAGTAATCGATTACTTCTCAAACGGAATCCGGGGAATTTGTTCACAGAAAAAATGAATTTATGTTTCTCGGAAGAAAATGATCCACACAGAGAAAAATTCAGGTGTGCAAAATAATTAGGTCGAGTTCAGGACGATATGTTGCTGACTCTCCTGATGAGAACATAGGATTAGTTTCCTCAAGAAAACGTTTATGCGATGTTAAATTTTTCATCAGGTTCTGTGACAAATTTCCAATTTGATGAGACAAAATTTTACTCACGTTGAGAATTTTCAAAGCTTTTGCTAAAGCACCGACTTCTTCGGTCATGGTGAACAAGACCGCGGAGTTTCCTGGCTTCCGTTTGGCCTTTCCATCGGGCGAACTTTCCAGTTTCAGATCGGACTTTTTCGGAGAAAAAATGAGATTGATTTAGTTGATTATCCAAGTTTGAATCATCAATTATCTCTGATTTATTTGAAGAAGGACGATTTACCTGTAAGCGAGAAGTGAATCGCGCGGAATAGTCTTGTAAAACCACGGGTGGCATTTTTGATAATACCCAGATGCACAAGGGCCTATTAGTCAGTTTGGATTTAAAGAAGCGTAAAAAATAGTACCTTCTAAATTTCAAAATTATGAAATGAAGGTAAAGAATAACTTCTAATCCGTGCACTAAAATAGCGGAGCACATAAATTCTTTGTTGCACTGACCGAAATAAGTATCAAACGCCATCGGTTTTGAGACTTTTCAAGTCCATCAAACTTGATACAATAATATTTTCAGCAGCGGAATGTAACACTCTGCGAATATACCGAACCTTTCTTTCGCTCGCTTCACTCATTGAAAGCGTATTATTATTGAACGTGACGATTGGCAATGTGGCAAACCTCAAACAAATGAGCACTGCTACAAAATTATTTGTAGTGCAATCCAACTTCTAAGCAATATTGCGTCAACCGCGCCACGTCTTTCTAAAAACTAGCATGCATGCTTTCTTAAATTTGCTCTTCGCATTTCCAGCTTTTTTTCATTTCACTTCGACCATCTTTCAAAGTAATTATTTAAGCTCGAAAGATGTTGAATGATTCAATGAGACGTCAATGATTTGAATGGTTGCTCATCCTTGTTGGACCGACGCATTTAACGCAGCACTTTACTTCCGCAAATGGGTCTAAGATGTCAATAAATCTAAAACGCACTCGCATGTTTCTTTTTCAAGTTAATGTCAGGAAGAAGAGAGTTTTATGATGCTGAAATAAATGTTCTCGTATCTGAGTAAAATACGGTGAGCCTGTTCGCATAGCAACCATGCTGCACAGCTAATTAGAGGTAATCAAAGCAGAAAGCTTCATATATCCCAGTCAACAAGTTGGTTTTATCGATGTATTGCGGAACACTTGTATTTTAAACGAGTACTTGTAATTGCCCGAGTACTGCGTCACGAGCCGCCGTCACTCGGAATCGGAACAAATGGATGAGTGTTAAACCTATTGTCCAAGCACTCGGGAAGCTGTTGGCGTAATGCGAGTGATCCACTCGGCTCACTGGTGTCTGACCTCTTTCCTGACCGCGCCTTTGTTTAATAAGGTTTTGACTGGAGAACAGACCTAGACCCACGTTTCAGTTACATGTCATTTAATCCTCAGTGACCACACAACCATTTCGTCACACAATAAAAGATATAAGAGATGTCTTTGCGTCACAGTCTCATAACGAAGTGAGGACCGAGTTCCTAATTCGCCGGCTCTTCCCGATCTTCCCCCAGATCTCTTGCCTGATAAAACGGTCGGCACTGGGCAGAGTGTCCTTTTCTGCGAAACAGATCAGATCAATTTTTTCGTGGATCCTAGACTTGAAAATAAAATTAGCATAAAATGTGATCATTTTGAGTAGACTGAAGAAATTGAAATGGTACACTCTGGCCAAGCATCATAACGAATGCTGTAATTGTGCATTTCATTAGCTATATTTGAAGATTTAAAAACAATTTATGCCAATAGAGTAGAATAGACGATTTAAAAAAGGGAATTAATAAGTTAATTTTCATTTAAAAGCTGTTCGCAATCAATCGGCTGAACGAAGCATGTCAAAATTGAGCCAATCGGTACTGTTAATGTGTTATTCTAAAAAGATCAATTTTTGATAGCTCTTGCACTTACGTGAAAATCAATCTCGAGCCTGAAAATAAATCCCGAACAAAAATCAATATATCTTTCTGGTCTAATCTGCCTTTCATCAATTACATTCCAAGAAATTTATAAATGCGTGCTCAAAAAATTTTCCCAATCTTACTCAAAATCTTATTCCCTAATCTAATTCATAAATTTTATGGTTTCTTCCTCCTCAAAAAATCTGTAGAGGAAAAACATGATTTACAATAATGCAGTGCGATCGGCCTTACTTTTTGGTGTAACATGGTACTAAACAAGCCTTCAACCAGCTCAGCATTAAAATTCGCTTCCGTGAAACTGGGTTATACTTACGAAGCAACATTCCCACAATTTAAAAAAAAACATTTTTATCTCACCTCATACAAGATATATAATTTCCCCCCGGAGCAAGGGTAACAACAACAGAAAACGAAAATAAAATTGCAAAGGAAAAAAAGCAATGAAAAAAAGGTCGTCGTAGGGAGTATGGAAACTATCCATCTGTAAATGTGGAGCACAGCCATATAGGACTCCCCCCCTTTTTTTTTTACTTCGAATTCTAACTTTCGAACAGTTTAGAAGTGGTTCGTTTAATCAGTTAAGGTGGGCCGATTGGCGGGTAAGATTCATGGTGTGGTTGGATTCGAAGCTCAGTATCGATTGATCGGTCGAGGCGCCAGTGATTAAAAACGTGGTTGACAAGCCCCCGGATTTGACAGACTTTCTTTGAATCTCCTGCATATCTTTTTTGTTTTGATTTCTTTTAATTTTTATTGCTGGATATTGAAGTGAGCTGCAATGACAGGCTTCATTTGTATTCTCGTTTGCGTTGAACTAAGGAATCTGATTATATGCTGGATTGTCACCGACTGCATGTATTTGCCAGGATATAATATAAGATTATGTTACAAACTTGTATTGAAGCGTAAAAAATGATGTCGAATGATCTGTCATGATATCACAGACATTCCCATGAAGTTTGCAGTGCTGCAGGACTGGAAAATCATTTGGAGTTCACACAGAAATGAAATCATTCAATTGAATGAGAAATTTACGAAATTTTTCAGGCAGTTTCTCCCTCGTCTCAGTAAATCGCAATCGTAGGCACACGTTTTCGGATGGTTGCTGATCCTAATAGCCCTCATTTTGAACTTTTTCAAATCAAAATTAAACTTCCTCGCTTTTATAGGAGAAACCCACCGACGGTAAATATTCCACACTTGGAATACATTATTTGTTTCTCATTAAAAATGTAAAACAGATTAGGGGCCACACATTTTTTTTAGCGCGATAATGAAGGAATTTCAGATGGTGATAAATTCAATCATTGATTTACCAAGATTAAAAGTAAGTGCGGTAAATATAGAATTAAACCATGTGTCAATCCCACGCTTCAATTTTGAAATACTTACGACTTCTGTCTGCATTTGTAAAGCTATCATGAATAAAGAAAGTATGTGAGAGGTATTCCCAAAATGTAACTCGCATTTTTTAGCCACTTTAACAGGAGACATGGAAAGAAAAGGATCTTATTGAAACATTTCCAAAATGGTTGAAGAAGAAAAATAAAAATGGACTGAAAAATCCGGAGGAAGTTTTACTGTAAAAATATGATTCAGAACTTTTTCCTTCCGTGACAATATTCCGCGAATTCAGTAAAAAAATCGTGTTGAGAAATGATTAAAAGATGAGATATTTATACAGCAGGCACTAATATTTGTTTAAAAAGAGTATTTTCTGATTTAAACCTGGATTTGAGTATCAAAATCAATTCTTAACTTATTTTGAGCGTGCGTTTAAGTTTTTATTTACTCCCCTGAAATAAAATTATAAGAATCCTCTTTCTTCTTGCTGAAGTCCTTCAGTTCAAATTGTTAGTTTTTTTTTTCATTAAAAAATACGGATAAAAACTGGTTCGGTAACCGTACTGTGTTGAATTCGTTTCGGTCAACTCCACTTTGAGATTTACGCAGGAATTTATTCTCAATTTATTCAGCAGAATAAAAAAGAAACTACGCTTTTTTTCTTTTCGGCGTGGATCATTTTTGATCATGTGCATTCAAAGATACGTGACAGCATTTTTTGGTAGATCGAAGCACGCAAGAACAAATGTTCAAAAAAAAACAAAGGGACACATCCGTCCACAGTAAAAAAAAAAAGGTACGCACAGGATTTCAAGTGGAACACTTGTATCTATCTCATTAAAAAAAAGGTGGTTGGGACGAACAATTTCATTCAGGTGAACAAAAATAGTGGAAATATTAACTCATCACTCGCATGTGTTTTTGTCCTTCAACAGGAGTCATGTTTGAAGATCACTGGTGATAATTGCACGCCAGTTAAAAGCAAGAATATGCTGGAGTACCCGGAACCCTGGAAACTGATTTTTTTCAGATTTTAGATATTAACAATGATTTCCCTGTATAATGAAGAATTTTCAGGAGCAATCATATCGCGGAATACTGTACTGTATTCTAGTCCTGAGCGTTATATATCACGCAAGAGAAGCGATTTGACTTCCTGCAGGATGCTTTTGGAATCCGGTTCTAATTCCACTGCACTGACATTGATGAGAAATATCCCAGTTCTGTTTTTAATCAACATTTTCATTTGAAGCAACTCCTATTAAAATTTCAATTTTCCTTAAGCTTATTTAAAAAAAAATAAGGAGCCACGTGAGTTGAATAAGAAGTTCCGACATTTTTTAGAGTTCTCTCTTCGAAATATGAAAAAAAAGATAATAAAAAAAGAAATGGATCACAGTAGGTCACCACCGCAATTCCAATTTGCAGGTTTCTCAGATGCTCCCAAAGTCGACAAAACTGCGATAAGACTGCTTTGTCAATCGCACAATAACAATTACTATAATTTTTTTTATTGTAGCCTGAAGAGTGAATGCACAGGCCGCACAACTGCGCACTCCAAGCGGTCTGAGCATCAGGGCAGCTTCAGGGAGCAATAATGGGGACTATCAGTTCATCAGACTTGAACCTCCCTTGGAATTCTCTGGATAAGTTGTGAAGTGAAACTAACCAGCAGCAAGCCCTACTTGATGAGACGGCATGGATCCCGCCAATAAGATACGGCCAGTCCCTTGGGTCTGGCAGAAGCAAATGTAAATTTTTAATAATTGGCCTATTGCCGTGGAGGATTCCTTTGAAGTGCCAAAAAATGCGGTCGAGAAAACAAAATATGTACCAGAACTCTGATTATCTGGGGGAAATAAGTAAGGTAACTGCTATTGCATGGATAATGAAATAAAACAAATAAGTGAATACATTTCCTTGTACAAGAGGTAATAAGTTTCAAGAAGACCCTGAGTTGATAACTCTTGCATTATACCCAGAAATCTTAACGTTCGTTCAAAGAAATTTTAAATAATTGGGAAGTTCATAATTCAAAATGAAAATTAAACGTGTTTCTCAAGATCAATCCAGTTATTTTTAGAGCGAATAATTGGACCTACGATGGAACTCTAATGTTACGCGTAAAACGTCAATTCCTTACTTTTCTAGAGGATTTCACTGACGATTATAGATGTTCTTCAAACTTAACGAAGAGACGATGATGAGCAGAAATATAGTCTGACATTTTAATACCGTTTTCACATAGAATATAAGACACAGTACCATTGATCCTTTTCGTAAAAACCCCCGAATTTTGTGACTTCTCGCATATATGAGGTATATCAATCAGGCTTCACTCGAGTTTGCGGCAAAAAGATTGTTTTTAAGAAACTAAAACCAAGCTTTGGTTTTCCCCCAAAAGCCAATGAAGATTTCGATGAAAAGCGGTGTCTGATTTTTTTAAAGGGGAAAATCCGTTTGTAGATTCACCAAATTAATATTTTTTTTTACAGCTGGAAGATAAATATTTTAAAATACACCACTTGAATACTGCTCGATTTCCGGAAATACGAACTTTTCGGAGAATAGTTTCAAAACACTGCTTTCACGTAATTGATCTCTGAACAGCAAAAATGAAACAAATTTTTCGAAAAACCGATTGATTGAAGTAATCCGAAAAATTCTGATCCTCATAGTGAACCACGAAAAAGAGTTTTTTCTTCATCTTGCAATAAAGCTGCACAAATGTTTGCGTTTTAAATATAAATTATGTTTAGTTTTTCTAGTTGACTGAAACCGGCAACTTTTCGCGTCGTCGTTCGATGACGACGGAGCAAGATTTTTTTCTGATCATATGGTCGTCAGGACGTCAGCTCGGATTTTTATAGGCGATGATAAAAACTGGTTTCAGGAACCAAGTTTATAGCCTCAATAAGTACGTCTTATAAAATCGACCTAATTCAGCAGATTATTTTAAACTTTAATGGAAACAGCAGCGATTGTTCCTGCTGTTATTCTGCCTGCCAACACGGGTAAGTTGTAAATGCAGTTCCCGACATCCATGTAAGAATTTTTCGTATATATATAAGAGGTTTTGTATACCCTCTTTAATTTCTGAAGAGGGAAAATCCCCACACCGGTGCAGTTCGTAAAAAAGGAACTATCCCAAAACGATTTTCCATCAAAAACAATTACTAAAATAAATTCCCGAAGACACAAAAATCATCGAAGAAAATGTAAACCGTGACTTTCAATAATCAGGAAGTTAGACATTATTTAATACAATAGGCCTGAAACACCATAATGTCACTCATTCTGCTGACACTTCGACAGCATCTTTCGATTCTCCGCTTTCCTCGAGCGGTGCTTCGATGGGATTCGATGATTCCGTTTTAATCGAGCTTTCATCAGTATCCATTAATTCTGGGGCAGAGACGGAAACCTCATCGGCGACATGTGCAGGAGGTTTAGGCTCTTCGCTAGCATTCGACTCACTATCCAACTGCTTAATACCGTTTTCACATAGAATATAAGACACAGTACCATTGATCCTTTTCGTAAAAACCCCCGAATTTTGTGACTTCTCGCATATATGAGGTATATCAATCAGGCTTCACTCGAGTTTGCGGCAAAAAAATTGTTTTTAAGAAACTAAAACCAAGCTTTGGTTTTCCCCCAAAAGCCAATGAAGATTTCGATGAAAAGCGGTGTCTCATTTTTTTAAAGGGGAAAATCCGTTTGTAGATTCACCAAATTAATATTTTTTTTCACAGCTGGAAGAGAAATATTGTGAAATACATAACTTGAATACTGCTCGATTTCCGGAAATACGAAATTTTCGGAGAATAGTTTCAAAACACTGTTTTCACGTAATTGATCTCTGAACAGCAAAAATGAAACAAATTTTTCGAAAAAAAAAACCGATTGATTGAAGTAATCCGAAAAATTCTGATCCTCATAGTGAACCACAAAAAAAGATTTTTTTCTTCATCTTGCAATAAAGCTGCACAAATGTTTGCGTTTTAAATAGAAATTATGTTTAGTTTTTCTAGTTGACTGAAACCGGCAACTTTTTGCGTCATCGTTCGATGACGACCGAGCAAGATTTTTTTTTTATCTTATGGTCGTCAGGACGTCAGCTCGGATTTTTATAGGCGATGATAAAAACTGGTTTCAGGAACCAAGTTTATAGCCTCAATAAGTACATCTTATAAAATCGACCTAATTCAGCAGATTATTTTAAACTTTAATGGAAGCAGCAGCGATTGTTCCGGCTGTTATTCTGCCTGCCAACACGTGTAAGTTGTAAATGCCATCTTAAAGGGTTCAGTTCCCGACATCCATGTAAGAATTTTTCGTATATATATAAGAGGTTTTGTATACCCTCTTTAATTTCTGAAGAGGGAAAATCCCCACACCGGCGCAGTTCGTAAAAAAGAACTATCCCAAAACGATTTTCCATCAAAAACAATTATTAAAATAAATTCCCGAAGACACAAAAATCATCGAAGAAAATGTAAACCGTGACTTTCAATTATCAGGAAGTTAGACATTATTTAATACAATAGGCCTGAAACACCATAATGTCACTCATTCTGCTGACACTTCGACAGCATCTTTCGATTCTCCGCTTTCCTCGAGCGGTGCTTCGATGGGATTCGATGATTCCGTTTTAATCGAGCTTTCATCAGTATCCATTAATTCTGGGGCAGAGACGGAAACCTCATCGGCGACATGTGCAGGAGGTTTAGGCTCTTCGCTAGCATTCGACTCACTATCCAACTGCTTCACAGCGCCATCACCGACTTCGTCATTATTCGACGAAGAATCTTCATTTTCTGGTGAGGCAGTTGAACGACGAGGTGGAACCTCCGTGGCACCGGATTCCAGGTTCGGTTCAGGTTCAATACGCGGCACTGCGGCGTAAGAATCAGACGCAGAGGGAATGTATAAATCCCCAGATTTTTCGCCGAGTTCCTCAGACGCGTCTTCCGTTAGAGGTTCGTCTTTTATGTAGAGTTCTTCGGGGATTGATTCGTCATCATCGGCTTTTTCAATGGCAATAGAGGGAACCGAATCATCCTGTAGATTCGCAGGTGATTCCACCATTTCGGTCTTAATTTCGGGCAAAAAATCGCTTCCATGGTTCTCGCCAGCCTGTTTCAACAATTCCAACTCCAGTTTTTGCTTCTTCTGCAAGTCTCTCGTCTCCTTCAGTACACGCGCTCGTTCGCGAATAACCTCAACGACAGGTTCGTTTATGTGGAAGATCAGCTGGAGAGTGCGGCACATTTGAATAACTGCATTTTCGTGAAGCTTGAATTTATGATGAGGCAACACTGGTTTGCCATCTACCAGAATGGCGCGTTTCCCGTCGTTTTGAATAAAGAAGTCGCCGTTTGGGCGAAGCTTTATCGTGCCTTGACGACGTGATATCTTTGCAGAGGGGCCTTCAAGCGATAAATCGAAATCCACGAAGCCTCCTTTGACCGATCGTCCAAAGCTCACCTAAAAAACGGGATCATCCGAAAAGAGGATTCGATTAACACAGAAAAAAGTTTCGCAAAAATAAATACCGCTCACCTCCTTGCTCTTCATTTTGTAACACGTCAAGCGGCCTTGCAACAGAGCAACAGTCTGATCGTCAAACGCAGGTAGAGTTGCCTGACCTGTGACCGAACGTGCTAGTGTTTCCCATTCCTGCACTTCTTTTTCTAGCTTCCTAATTTCTAGCCTCACGGACCTGCGTGACAGGGTAACACATCAACACAACGCGAAAAGAAAAAACCTAGAGGTCGATCCAACGTACCGTCCCTGGGCTTGCAGTTCACGCAATGGCACATCTTCATGCGGTTCATGGTCTGGGACACTGATAGTCGCCAGAACATCGAAAAATGTTCGATCACCAGACGTAGACACTAACGAATAAGGAAAAAATTCAAAATTCGCATCACTCGTTTAATCAAAGAATGTCAAACGGCGACGACAAAAATAAATGAGCATTTCGTTATTTACTGAACTTGAAAATTTAAGTTGTAGCGGTGATACGGGCGAATAGGCTCACAAAAACTTGAAAATTTTGTGATTTCTAACCATATTGGTGTGAAGATATGAGTGAAAGAAGATGAGAAACATTATAAGACAAAAATCAAACAAGGGGAACTGTTCGCGTTTTTAAAGGCAGATACTAGTGTGATGCATTCACTACTAATCTTACAGAAATTGACAGGCAAGAACAGGGTGTCCTTAATAGTAAACAGTCACGAGAATAGCCCCAAAAAATATTCATTTCCTGATTAGATCACCACGTACAGCACTACTTACAAAAGGCATTAGACAATGGAACTTACGAGACTGGCATTTGAGCAAGTCATAATTCTTCATCATATTCCAGTGCTTCATCAACGTCTTCGGCGTTCGACCTGGATGAAACACACTCGGATTCTGCCGTAGGAGTTCTGAAAAATCCGACAGACTCGGGAATTTTGTCTGCAATTCAATCAAATTATTAATGCACGGAATTTTCATTCGAGGCGATCGAGTCAACTAATCAAACCTCATCGAATGTAACTTCAGCGAGTAAATTCTCCTCTGCTCTACTGAACAACGCTTTGCTCTGCACCAGGCAAACAGTTTCGGGGTGTAGATTTTGAATGGCCTGAACAGCCATTTTTGACAGAGTGCTGTCATAAAGAAGCTGGTGCCATCGTTGCGTAAGTTCCCGGAACGTGAATTCACACGTGAATTTCACTGATTTGTGTATCACTTCCAGATCATTCGTCTAAAAATTTAAGAATACTCGTCAGATTGTTGAACTCTGTTCAGCAATGTACTTCATGCGCAAACAAAACGCACATCGAAAATTGAGGATAGAACGAAACCCAATTTTCTGGGGAAGAAAACCCAGCCTTCAGTAAAATTATAACATTCGTCAGCCTCCAAGATTTAATTGAACAGTAGTAACTTTTGAAGCTTGACATTTCCTACGTTCTCTACGTTGCATTATATCGACCTGGATAAAAACTTGGCTCTCTGAGTGAAGGACATTTTTGATTACACGGTTTCCACCCTAAAATTTTAAAATAAGAAAACTCTTGACAAACGATTAGAACAGCAAAAATGTTGACGCAGCGTTTGAGTGGAGCAAGTTTAGTCAGAGATTATTTCGAGTTCTCAGAAGTCAGAACATCCACGTGGTCACTTTCGTTCAAAATTTTTATTTTTTTCACCCGCATCGATTAAATCAAGAGCTTGTAATGTAGCTTTATCTCACGGTGACGAGTAAATTCATGAAATGTTCGAATTAAGCGCTTGGATAGCCAAAGCGCCTTTTCCACTTGAATTCATGATCCTTTGTTCTAAGAGCCAGAAAAATTTGCGCTGTATTATTTTCAAATATGCTAATGAGCAAATTCTCAAAATTAGATAAATTTATCAGGATACGATATTATCAAGATACGTGAATGAAATCTTCGGCTATTGGAGTATTCCTTTACGCAAACTTGTTGATGGCCCTTGCCGAAGAATCTAGGAAATAACCCTCAACAAAAGAAATGTTTCGAAAATCCCGAGCTCGCGACTCACTTGAAGAACAGCGTTGATCAATGCGAGATCATCGATCGGCTTGAATCGACCGAGTTCTATGGCATTCGCGGGTTTCTTCTTGCCTTTGATCCGCTTTTTAGTGTTGGCACGAGAAGTTCCAGGGTTCACGGCGAGACCAGATTGAAAACCAGATGTAACTGATGTCGAAGAGGCGTCCTTTTGCCTCCGAGCTGATGCTATGGTTGGTGCGATCGCGTAACTTGTTCCAGCCACTGCCATTTCGGCAAATGAAGCTCCCGAACTCATCCCGGCTGGTGACACAAAATTCGTAAAATTATTTAAGCTAAATTAAACGGAATTTCGAATTCTGCCATACTTCAACAAAACTCAGCAGATTTTGATTGTTCAGCAGCCAAAAATCAAAATCGACCAATGCGAACATTTCAGCACAATATAATGCTAAAAAGGTTCCTCTGCGGCGTGAAATTTCAGGATCACTACAATATCCCTTTTCTGTCTATTACGGAAACATTATTCAAAGTTTGAGTAGACGTCGCTCGCAGACACCAATGAATCAATTTTATCTTACCATCTTAAGCTTAATCTGCTTCAATGTTTTTTTTTTTTTTGAGAATACAACCTCGTAAAAGTAGACTTCTCAATTTTTTATTTTTCTTTCAACTATAGTACAGTACAGTACTTCCGAAATTCTTCCTACATCTACTCGATATGAACATTATTTCAGGTCTTTTCCGCGCGTTTCAACCATTACCTGACCATCTGCAATTTAGTCAAACGAATTCTGCACGGAATTTTCATTCAAGGCAATCGAGTCAACTACTCCAGCCTCATCGAATGCAACTTCAGAAAATACATTCTCCTCAGCTCTACTGAACGAAGCATTGCTCTGCACCAGGCAAACAGTTTTTTGTAGATTTGAAATGGCCTGACTTTCGGAGAATTCTGACTTTTCCACTGTATTCTAACTTTTTCGAAAATTGTACAATACTGTATTAGGGATAGTGGAGTTTAGAGATATAATAGCTATTTTACACCTAGATACAAATAAAATTGGGAGATGCAAACTTCTTGAAAAATACACGAAGAAGGTTGTATAATGGAAAAAATTCTCAACACACGTGTTGACGGGGTACTGCTTGGCGAGCCAGAGTACCCAATCCCAACACCATCCGGTCCTTTGAGAAGTTTCGTAGCATTTACTGGCGCTTCCCATTGATCATCAAATGTTTTCCGCTTTATAGCTCGAGAGGAGCTGAAATTAAAACGAATGAAGAATGAAAACATGCAGTGATTTCATATGAAATTGATCTTGGAAACTAACCTCCTCCGCGTGGGAACATGTTTCGAAAGTGAAGGGATCGCGAACTTTCCACTAGACATTTCCGCGTCTCACAATACCTACGGTTTAGAAATCTTTCTACAATGAAAATAAGTCACAGAATTAAATCACAGAGATTTTCCCGACTTGCAGGGTTCCGGTTAGGAAAATGAAAACAATTCAAGATCACAAGAGTCAAATTGCGAATTTTCCCTGCCAATTGATTTTGATCGAACTGCGATCTGAACAATCACGAACGCATTCAGATTCCAAAACGATCACCGATTTCAAGCCAAGTCTTGAAAAATGAGCAGATACTCAGTATCAGTCCACTCCACAGTAAAGTCAATGTCCGTGATAGAAAAACTTCAAAAGTGACTCAGTATATAACAAAAGAATGCCGCACATTTTCAAATGCTGGACATGATGCACAACGTCACGTCTTCCGGTTACTGTTCAGAGTTCCCGACGATGCTCCATGATCCATCAATGATTGAACAGCATTTTGCACAGGATGCGAGGTACAAAGCATATCAGAGCTCCGCGTATTTGCGATATGCAACGCATCTTTCTCAATCACTCGAGTTTTATGATCCACATTCATGTTTACAGGCAACTGCGGCGACCGCTCGAGGGCTTCCGGAATTTGATCTGAACCACGGTGCATCTCCTTCTTGTGGCGCTCTCGAGCGCTCTTGTATCTATTCAAATATTTTAAAATTTTGCATTCAAGACACACGTAGATCAATCACGAAGACATTCGAGTTAGAAGATTTTGAGACGCCTGGTTCAAAATTATAGGTGCTGGTATTTTGGGTCATCAAATACAGTACAAATGCATACGAATTAATTTGAAATATCATGTATCAATTAATTTAAAATATCAAACGCAATGTGCCATCACAGCTTTTTCAATCCCGATCTTCCTCATTGGTGTCGAACAGTAACATGAGTTGCTCCTAGAAAGGTGGTATCTCTCGATTTCATTCAGAGTAATTTCAGCACACGAGTACAATACCGTAAGTTTATTTCCTATTGAGATTTCCAGCAAATTAAAAAATAAGTTGTTGTCAGGTATCAAAGCTGCGTTCAATTTGAATTATACCATTCCGGGAATCAGAAACGACGAGGAACCAGTTCTGAACTTCCAATAGAATATTAGTTTTCCTGATCGAAGAAAATATCGCCTGATAAACGTAATTTTTCCTTGTACTCTACACGCCGTACTTCTCACTGTAGAAAACGCACACGATAATGATTTTCTGGGGAAAGGGTTCTCAAGGCCAATATCCACAAAAATGAACAGGTATCCAAAAATTATGATATGACCTCAAGCTGATGACCCCTATCTGGCAAAAATCGTCAACCCTGCATTAACACACGCAAGGGAATAGGAATACAGCGGGCGAAATTAGAAGATTCTCACCGAAATCTCATTCCACAACGCCTGCAGGCATGTGGAAGCTTCGTGTCATGAATCTTCACATGCTGATGGAGATGCGTTGATTGATTGAAAGCCTTTCCACACACATCGCACTTAAACGGTCGTTCTCCAGTGTGAATCCTCTCATGGCGCACTAAATTACACGGCAGCGTGAAACGTTTCGGGCAGAATGTACACGTCAGGGTCGGCCCTTCGTGACTCTTCTTATGCTGAGCAAGATGTTCTCCTTGAAAAAATCGTTTGCCACACATATTGCACTCATGAGGTCTTTCACCAGTGTGACATCTCATGTGCCGTCCGAGATTCCGCGAGTGAGCAAATTGCTTGTTGCAAACGCTACAGGAAAACGGTTTCTCACCTCCAGCATGAACTGCCCTGAAATCAATAAGTACGGTATAAAAAAAACGCTTTTGTACAGCAAATCATGAAATCAACACTTACTTGTGATTAGCAAGATGTCCAGCCTGCATAAATGCTTTCGGACAGACGTCACAAGCATACCTCCGACTCTTCTTTGAACCTTTGTCTTCAGGCTTATCGTCTGTTTCGGTTTCCTCGTCAGCCTTAAGCTCACATTTCACAGCAGGCGAGGAATGCGGTACTGTATGTGAAGAATACTGAGATGGTTGCACGACTTGAACGGTGTGCGCAATTTTCATATGCTCTATGCATTCTTGCGGAGTTGCAAAACGTAAAGCGCATATTGTACACCAGTAGCACTGCAGGGCAACAGACGAATTTTCACAGGGACGCGGGTTGAAATGCTGGCCATCCGTGGATAATGGCAGAAGTTGCCTGCGATCTAGTCCTGGAAAAATCACGAAGAATATTGTTCATTAAATTCAACGCTACCAGCATAAAAATAAAACTTTTTTGAAAGTTTTCCTAAACCTCAGAAAGGTCACAGATCCTTTACATCGCAAAAACAGAGGAAGACTTTTCGTGACATATTTTGCGGGATCAAACGGAAGTTTCGGTTTCAATTCATAAATAACTTGAGAAAATATGACTACTGAGAGTCCGGAACGGCTGAACCCTACGTCGGTCGGGCTTTTAATCGTTGCAAAAATGATAGACCCTACCTTTTAAATTTAAATTTTGAATCTATTTCAACTCCAGCAGCAATTTGACATATTCCATGAGTAAATGTCACCTTCAATACATGAAACTTACATCAAAAGTTGCTTTAACATTGCGCTGGCGCTTATTATACGTACGGTACGTATACTTGAAGCAGGGTGATTGGAACAACGTCTATGCCTCACTTTTCGCGCACATTTGCTGAAGCAGTAAGTCACTTACCGTAATTCATCAATCTCAGACCTTCATCACACCCTCCTTGCACATCTCGCCTCACGAACTGCATTCTACAAAACACATCTTTCCCCTGAAAATATTCAAAAGAAGCATTTCAATATTGTACAATAGAACATCTCAAAACTTTTTTTTTATACAGAAACTTGTTCCCAATAATATTTTCCGCATCACAGTGCGGTGTTCGAACAGCAAAGAACCAGAAGCACAATGTTATACAAGAAACGGATGTTCAATACAATGACGATCGCACTGAGAAAAAAATAAAGTCGCAGACTAGTTAACGCCGTTCATCATCCGAACAATGCAACAATTACGCTTCGAATTAAACATAACCTGAATTTTCAACACCCTCACACAAAATGAATACAATAAATTTGAGTTCATACAATGCTCGAACATGGCTCTTCTGCTCCAAAGGGGCAATAAAATTTCATTCACTGTGAAGGACCCGACATTGTGGAAGATGGGTTTCTATACCACGAGAAATTAGGGGGAAAACCGCACGGATTCGCGTCACTGCGAGGCATCCCTTCGTTCGTTTGAGAGAAAGAATCTTGCATCTTAGGTCCTGGACCTGCCGCGGGCAAAGCAGGCTCAGGTGACGATAGAATCTCTTCGGAATTTCCGACTCGGTCACTTCCGGATTTCCCGTGGCATTTTACATGGTTATTCAAATGTGTTGATTGGTTGAACGACTTTTCGCAGTGATTACACTCGTATGGCCGTTCGCCGGTATGTATTCGAGCGTGCCGTTCGAGGTTGAAAGCATGTGAGAACGATTTCCCACACTCACGACAAGAAAGCCTTTCCCCTTGATGAATTCTTCGTCTATGATTATTGAGGTGCTCCGCCTGAAGAAAGCTTTTGCCACATTGGTCGCAGGAAAAGGGGCGCTCTCCTGAGTGCGCTCGACGATGTCTACGACAGAAAAAGGATGATCCTCGGTTACTAGCAAAAAAAAAAAAACGAGTAATTCACCTTATCAGGTTGCGACTGTGTGCGAAAGCTTTGTTGCAAAGTTCACACGTAAATGGACGATCTCCAACGTGGACCCTTTTGTGATTAACCAAATGACCCGATTGCGTGAACGTTTTATTGCATATTTCGCAGACGAATGGTCTTTCTCCGGTGTGAATCCTACGATGCTGTATTAAATACGTATCCTTGGTAAAGGTTTTATCGCAAACATCACAGCAGAAAGGCCGGGGCAAGTCTTTGGGAGTCTTCTTCGCTTTACCCTTCGTTACGGGGCGAGCAGCAACGCCAGCTTCTTCAAATATAAATCGGACATGCAACATCCGAGGTGAAACAATGATTTTTCGGTCATGAAACTTACTCGAGGCTTTTTTGAGATCCTGAGGAGCGTCCTGAATTTCAACGGATAAGAATCTCGATGGATCCGGAATGGGAAATTGAGGAAAAACAGGTGGGACAGGCCGGAACATTGGTTTATGATGCTCCTGATTGCGACAAGGCCCGTTGCATACGGGACAAACCAACATTCCAATCGGGCCAGGGTATTGTGATCTCGAGTGATCAGCGTAACCGTGCATTTTTCTTCAGCAACTTTATGTCCGATAGCGTCAAACGAAGAGAGCCATTTAAAGCAATCATGTACTTCGCTAACTCGCACACATCACAAGCCCCAACAGAAGTGATAGGATGAATTACAATGCACACATATCACTCGCGTGTGATTCGGAACGATCGAACTGCAAAGAAACGACGATGAATAGGCAACATTTCCGATCAGAAGCGGATAGGTTCGACCACTGTAGGCGACTCTTAATCTGAACTTTCGTAATACAACGCGCGTACACCAAGGGAGAAGAAAACTTACACTTCCCACACATAAAGTTATCAACACTTTCGTAAGTCACAAATCCAGGCATATTAACGCTGAATGTGTGTTGTTATTGGTGGACGTACATACCGTAGTTATGTACAGTACTGCAAAGTACTGTACATTATTGGTGGGCATTATGGTGGGCATCAATAATGTACAGTACTTTGCAGTACTGTACATTATTGATGCCCACCACATGGCTTCCGCAACAGGCATCAATAAATTATGGACGGCCTCTAATTTAAAATATCCGATTTTCTCACCCAGAAATGAACCATCAAGTTGGTTATGGATGCAACGTTAGCAAAGCTATGGTGGACCCCTTCCTATGCCATTTGTATACAACAAAGAACCAAACAATGTAAGCACAGTACTGTACTGTATGTGTTTAGTTATCTCCTCAGTTTGAATAACGAAGAAATGCTTAACATAATTTAATATATCTGCTTAGATGGCATTGATGAAAGTTAATTCAAATAAAAAATTTCTACTTGACCCTATATAGTTGAGAGATGAGGACTACAACAATATTATTTGAGTGTCTTCAGAATTAATCAGAATTAACTCCTCAGAATTATACAGTATAGTGAGAGATCCTAACCATTGATTAAACATCAAAAACACCGTTAGATCCGCGAAAGTCATTCCCACTATCTCTCCCCACAATCAGAAGGGCGATACAAGGACAAGGAGCAGTACAAAGCCAAGGAACCTAATGGAACCAATTAATGGGAAACAGCACTGACTCACACAAGGCCAAAACACACCACAGGGGACAGGAAACACAAAGCAGACTTCACTCTGTTCTGATCACTGCAACAAACCACATCTTCTGTTATTCTGTGTCTGTGTTGTGTACGAAAGAAAAGTCCTACCGCCTTGTACCCGTCCAAGAGAATATATTATCCAACCAAGGTTCACCGATCGACTCAATCTTTAATTCCTCGATTATCCGACAATCTTACTGTATATGTGCCCCCCTAACGAGACCTTTTGAATTGCAGTAGCCGCGACACCTAGCGTTGCATCTTACCAATACCCATCGCTGCGGAGCTGGATCATGGGCCACATGGTCCATGTTGGACCATGTTGACCTTCAGAATCTCGACCCGTTCGTCGGAATTTCGTTATTTGTTTGTGATGCCTTGACAAAGAGTATGACCTGACCTTGTCACGGTTTCTGTTTTGGGAAGGTTTCAAAGAGGTGATCATGCAGTATTTTCACGAATTACATTGAAGTGATTGTGAAGCTGTACAAAAAAGAACATAACTGAAGCTCGCCTTCTCCCTCCTATTTTCGCAAGCTATTTTTCTAAGTTATTCAGTTTAAGTGAAAAATGTTATGGCGCCACAGCTGCTCAAATCGGATGCATACTTTGCTGCGAAACATTTTAAAGCGGCCTTACCAATCACATGCTGGGGTTTTCGGTTTGAAGCCATCGTCTGGCGATTCGGAATATATGCGTAAGTTGGGTCAATTTTTTCGATTTTTAAGGTGTATGCATCAAGATTTATGATTTCGCAATTGTTACACCATACCTGTCTTCGCTTCTGTCTACCGACTTGTTGCCAACAGTTCGATTTATGACACGGATAATTTCATCGGTTTGCATCTACAAGTATCGTTCGTAATCTCAATTTTCGTTTCTTTTCGGTATCCACAGCGAAAGAAATTCTGGATAGCCGAGCGAAACACAGCAATGTCTGGCGGTATGTGTCAGCGTACAGGGACCATGGTCATGAACGAGCCCGGATAGATCCGCTGAATCTCCATCAGCCCATGTAAAGCGGATATTATTCTGTTGGTCTAGATATTACTTGATCATGCGAGTGAAACCTGCAGATCTCAAGCCCTGCTCAAACCTGGGATATACCATTTGACATCTGATATAAAATTCCCAACGCAAGGAATCGTGAACATGAATGAATCTTTCGCCACAGTTGATGAGCTTGAAGCTTTCCTCGAATCTGCGTACTGTGGGAATGTTGCGCTGGATTTTTCGCACGTTGAAGAACTGGAGAAGGACTGGCTTGCGCACAGGTTGGTCGTAATTCTGAATCACTGAGCAACACAGTAATTTAAAATTATTCATGAGTTTGTGGCGCGGAGTTATGTGACGATCGGAGTTGAATTTCATTCTCAGATGGGAAGGCTTGTCTTCTGAAAAGTTGACAGATTCCGAAAAGCTGACGATTTGCCGTGAGATGCTGCGCTGCCAGGCGTACGACTTCTTCTTAGCCAACAAGTTTGCAACCGTAAAGCGTTACGGCTGTGAAGGAGCAGAGTCGATGACGACATTTTTTACTGAATGCTTTCGAGTTCTTGCCAGTGACGGGGTGCAGCAAGTTGTTATTGGAATGCCTCATAGAGGGCGATTGAATTTATTAACTGGGGCTCTTAAGCTTCCGCCTCGTCTAACTTACGCCAAAATGAAGGGGGCATTGCTGTTTTCGGAAGAGCGGGCCACAGTAGGAGATGTTTTGTCTCACTTGAGTGAGTATTGCGTCGTGCCTCATACAATGGAATAGTTCTGTACAATATTAGTTGTAGAATTTATTGCTCGTGATCGAATCCGTAGATCATTATATCTTGATAATATTTGTTACTGATTTGCCAATAGTCAGACGGGTGTCACGGTATTTTCTAGAATTCACGGCAGCATGTTTTTCGCTTATTTTTCGGATCAAAAGTTAGATCGTTATTCATTCGTCCCATGTGAGTCTGGGATCCTGTATCTACTGTACCATATTTGCAGATACATTTTTTTAGAGCTTGCTTCTACGACAAAACTACGCTTGTGTTTCTCGTTTTTTTAGAGATTGCTTCTGCGACAAAACTACGCTTGTGTTTCTCTCTTTTTTAGAGCTTGTTTCTACGACAAAACTACGCCTGTGTTTTCTTTACCTAAAATCTGTTGAGCTTTCAGTATTTTACATCGTTGATTGGAGTTTTCCGGTGGAATGGTAGAAATCCACAGGGCAGTCGAGTCCTTCCTTTGGAAATGTCTTGCTCGTGTAATTAACTCAGGGATGAACAGTAAATGCGAAGAGACCTATTTTCCGTTACAGTATTCCGTGAGAATCTTAGTTGCGAGAACATTTTTATATTCTCGGGAAATGAAACAGATTCAGAGAGCGAATGGTTCTGCTTATGAGAAGAGTTGTGATTTTGCCTTTGAATAAAAGAAGCCGTTCCGGAGACATTTTACTGTGTTAGTGTAGATGCACTGCTCACGGTAAATGACGTCTAAGACCGACATCAATCATGTACCAGCGGACAATTTTAAAATCTGTGTGGTTATGTATCCATTATTTTAGCGTCGTCCGTCGATCTGGATGTGGATGGGCATGCGTTGCATGTTACGATGTTGCCAAATCCTTCACATCTGGAGGTATAAAATTTTTCGTAGTATTGTACAGCAATTCGTATTCCATTCGATGGCATAAATTGACTTAAATTAAAGGCCGTGAACCCAGTCGCTGTGGGGAAAACAAGGGCAAGGCAAAGACTTCTACTAGATGGTGAATATGACGAAAGCGATGCAGGAAGAGCTGGTGACAAAGTGGCATGCATACAAGTTCACGGGGATGCAGCAATTGCCGGACAAGGTGTTGTACAAGAAACATTAGCCATGTCACGTCTTCCTCATTTCAACGTTGGTGGCTCAATTCATTTAATTGTGAATAATCAAGTGGGATTCACAACGCCTGCCGAACGAGCTCGGTGAGTAATGAGGAGTTTTGTATGGGTCCGTCCTTTTCTTTATTGTACAGTGTTATGTTTTGCAGGTCATCCCGGTATTGTTCAGACGTGGCTAAGATGATCAATGCTCCCGTGCTGCATGTGAACGGAGCTCGTCCGGAATCCGTTTTGAAAGCGACTCGATTAGCTATCGAGTATCAACGGAAATTCCGGAAAGATGTTTTCATCGATTTGCTGTGCTTTCGTCGCTGGGGTCACAACGAGTTGGATGATCCGATGTTCACAAATCCAAAAATGTATAAGGTCATTCAATCAGCTAAGACCATTCCGGACACCTATGTGGAAAAGCTGATCGGAGAAAAAGTGATCGCACAGGTAGAAGCGGATCGAATAAGTCAAGAATATAGCGATTTTTTGAGAAATGAGTTGGACCATGCGGATGCTGTGAAGATTGAGTCGGACAAATTTGGTGGTTTGTGGACGAGTCTTGCAAGACCTTCTAAAGAGTTGACTGTGTGGGACACAGGTGTTGACTTGGAAGTGCTGAAATTTGTTGGTTCCAAATCAATTCAGTATCCTTCCGATTTTGTGAGTTTTATGCATTGTTATTTCGTAATGAATGTCCTTTTTATTCGGTTTGCACTAGGTGTACTCGTTCCTTCCCTTGTTCATAAATTCGTGATCCATGCTTGATCTAGTTGCGTTTCCGGGTAAATTGTGTAGCTAGTATGAAATGAGCTTAAAAGAGTATAGAGTTGTTTCTAAATTTGGAGCGTTATTTTTGGGCGAGATGATTGATTATATATTTCAAAGACATTCTTCGATTATGTTGTGCTTCGATTCAGGGGTTTCAAATATCTTCTCATCGGGAAGCTGTCCCCATGAAGTCTTGATGACCCTGAATAAAAAAACTGCGTCAAATCAAATACTGTACTAATGGATAGACGAAATAAGTTCGGCGTTACGCGTGAACCTCAATAGCTTGCACCTCCCTATTTCAATTTTTTCAAGTCCCTGTTTGAATTCCCTCAGAAACACCGTACAGTATTGAGAATCTCCCTAACTCAACCTCTTCAAACCTGTCTGAGTCAAATTTTCCGGAGGGGGCATTTGGCTATTATTTTTGTTGCCTAGGAAAAAGAAAGGCAGTAAAAATGTTCCTGGATGAATTTTGAAGAAAAGTGAATGAATAATTTGGCAAATTAACCTGCTTCGAATTGCTGTATCCCGTTTGTTTTACAAAACTTTTTTACAGAGCAGTTTCTGGCCCCAAAGAAATCACTAATTTTCATTTCCTTTAATTCTCTTGCAAGGCAAGAATGGTAGTTTCTCCGAATTGATTTTGTATGGTCCCTTGAACTTGGACTGGAAGAGGCCCAACTGTTCTCAAAAGTTCTAAGTTATGAAGGTTGATAGTTTCGCTGAAACGGTATGTGAAATATTTGAAAATGGGTCAATGACTGTGTTACGGTTTTGATTTTTTGCAGCTAATTCATCCACATTTGAAGAAAAGCCACGTTGATGCTAGACTCAGCCGTTTGGTGAAGGGTGATAAACTGGATTGGGCAACTGGAGAAGCATTGGCCTTCGGATCTCTGCTTTATCAGGGATTCGATGTGCGGCTTTGCGGACAAGACGTTGGGCGTGGTACATTTTCTCAACGTCACGCCATGCTAGTTGACCAGGAAACCGGAGAGATTACGATTCCGTTGAATGATATGAATGTTGATGGAGTCGGGAAGTTGGAGCTGGTTAATTCGTTGTTATCTGAGGAGGGTGTTCTGGGATTTGAGTACGGATACAGTATCAGCTCTCCAAATTGCCTGCCCATCTGGGAGGCCCAGTTCGGGGACTTCAACAACGGAGCCCAGATTATCATAGACACCTTTGTGACTTGCGGAGAAAGTAAGTCTATTACTAGTGAATAATTGTTCAAAAATTAGAACAAGTCAACTGCGAGGGTTGGTTCAGAAGTTTTTCCAAGCGTGTGGTTCCAGTGTGAAGGATTTCTGCTCATTTCCTCGCCGCGGTTCAGGTTTTGCCCGCCCAGCTTGAAATTAAGAGAAGGAAAAATGTATGCGCACTCTATCGCTATGAAAAAGTATGGCTTAACTGCCACATTTGCTTGTTTTGCAGGTGGACTACCTCTACGACGAATTTCGTTGGTCCAGAAAAAAATGTTGTAAAAAGAATTCGGTTGTTTCCACTTTCCAGCAACGAAATTCAGGGAATCAGAAAAACATTTTAAGAAAATAATTTCGTTGTAGGGAACCCATACGTAATGGTTAGAGAGCTGTTGAGGGGCCAACAAATACATTATACTGTACATAGAAAATCATTGTGGGTAGAGTCTAAGTGTAAAAATTTGAAGGTTGATGAGCCTATACAAAGTGCGATTAAAAAGCTCTTTCGTTGATAATTTCTAAAAACTTGCTCCAATGTCAGAACAAAAGCTATATTTTTGGCAGGTTTTTTTTTTTTTTTTCTTGTGATGCTGAATGTGAAGATCGCCTTCCGGAAAGTTGAATAATGAAAATGTTCCTGAGGTCATGACTGCTATTCACAAATTTTTTCTTAATCGAAAACGGGTTGCATATTGTTTATGATCACATGGTAGGTTGAGGATTGCGTATCCGTTACTTGGGAACCCAGAGAAATTTATCTACATCCACTACAATGCCTTCTCGACCATCCGTCGTATGCTGCATATATATTTTTCAACTTTTCTGAAGTATTGAAAAGTACAAAATAATTAGTCTGATTTCCTTCTTTTTTAGATAAGTGGATGCTGCAGAGTGGGTTGGTGATGCTGTTGCCACACGGATTGGATGGTGCAGGCCCTGAGCATAGTTCTTCACGCCTTGAAAGATTCCTCTTGCTCTCGAGTTCCAGTGAAACTGAAGCAGATGGGGATGCTGTCAATTTTAGCGTTGCGTTTCCAACAACTCCCGCGCAATATTTTCATCTCTTACGACGTCAGATGGTGCGAAACTTCCGAAAGCCCCTTGTCGTAGCTTCGCCAAAAACTCTGCTTCGATTGCCGGAAGCCAAGTCGGACTTGGCCGAGTTTGGGCCAGGATCAGTATTCAAAAATGTCCTTGGTAAGTTCCGAATTTTTCGAATTGCTCCAATCATGTTGATCGATTTGACGCGGGGGAAATTTTTATTTTGAATGTAAAGCCTTTTCTGTTTTCAGACGAATGCGGTTCTTCAAAGTGTATTTGCTATCTTTTAGAAATGTTCTTCAATGTTCTCATCACAATTTCTTATGCATCATATTCTTACTCTTGTTTCATGGTCCCCAAGATTCATATACAAAAATGCGGATGTGTCAAATGTGGATTGTTGAATCTGACTTACTACGCTCCCGAATAAAATGACTCCATTGTTAAGATTTCTTGACGATAATTTCTTAATATAATGCATGCATGTTATGGAAGTTGCCTTGAGACATGATTCTTATTTTTTAAAATCTGTGAATGTCGATGGAAATAATTTTAATGCGGAGCTAGGTGTAGGTACATTATATTTTAACAATTGGTGAAAATCAGTGGCATCAAAGACAAGTTTTCACGATTCGAGAAAAAAATACACTGCCATGTTCATTAAAAGTAAGTTAAATTCGAAACGAGTATCATAAGTCGATTCAACGTTTGTAGTAAATTCTAATGTAGTATTTGTCGCCACACCTCGTGCGTGTGTGAATACAGGGATTGTTTATACAGTAGTTATAATCTTATCATGACGATAACGGTTCTGGAAGAGTTCTTCCTCGAAGCTTTATTTTTTCTCGGGTAACCTTTTCGTGTGTTTCTTTAATTTTGTTTTATAGATGATCCGAGAAAGTTGGATCGAGGAAGCGTTACCACGATCATTCTTTGTTCCGGGAAACATTATTATACCGTGGAAAAAGAAAGAGCGAAGAGGAACATAAATAATACCGCGATCATCCGATTGGAATCCTTGGTCCCGTTCCCGGCTTATGACCTTCAGGAACTGATCAAGAGGTATCCGAAAGCCCGTGTATTTGTTTGGAGCCAAGAAGAGCACCGTAATTCTGGAGCATGGATTTTTGTGCAACCAAGGTTCAGGAACCTTTTGGGAATTGATGTGAGCCTTTCGTTGATTTTTTGCGCTGGTATGTTTTTCAAGGAGTAATACTGTTATGACACACTTGATCAGATGACGTATGCGGGACGGAACGAATCTCCTGTTCCTGCGGTTGGCTCATCGATTCTGCACGCGAAGGAGCTGCAGCAAGTACTGGCGGATACTTTTGAATCGTTCGAAACAGTACATTCTGCTTGAAACTGACCAGTGTTCGCGTTAGTTGACCATAGAATGATGGGGAGGGAAGCGTGTTTCGGATTAAATTGACACTTGAAATTCTTACAAAGCTCAAAAAAGTGCCAAAAGTTTTAGATCCTTCCGGGTTTTTATCGCACAAGGTTCCGGTGAGACTTGATATTGTGAACTATCGGAAACGGTGTCATGAATGTGACGCGAATCATCGTCATGACTGATGGAAAAATGACTTGTGTTGCAAATGTTTGCTTTGTCATGAACGGAATCTCCCGATTGAAGAAGAATGATTTGAAAGAGTTGCTTACTCGATTTAGTATTCATAGATGGCTACCTCGGAGAGCATCATGTAGTACAAAAGCATAAGCTCTATGCCTTATTCCCCGTTTTAGGAAATACCGTAATGTAGATCGCAAAAAAACATGGAGTCTCGAACCAATTTAGTCCCTCCCGAGTATTGCGCAAAGAAAACTTCTGGCATTCAAATCGAATTAATTTTCCCGTTTGACTCTCATCTTCCCTGAAATGGTGCTTCGTTGTGTGATGGGATGGCTTGGTGGATGTGAGCAGCTGCAGAAGTTTTCATATTTCCCAAATTATTTTTATTAAATTCCATTTATTGAAAAAATGGGTGATAAGGGCTTTCTCCCTACTTGGGTACTGTCTGAGAAACAATCTGATGGATTTACTGACAATAAAAACGGTATATGTTGCAAACCATTTTAAGTCTCTGTTGATGTTTTGTTAGGCAGGTAACTAAATCGAGTAGTTCTGCAAATATACATTAAATCTTGAAGGCATGGTTGTCGATGGTTAAACACTTAATGGAGTTTCCAGAAGACTTGGGCATCATTTTTCAAACCAATGCAGATGATGAATTATAATGCAACTTTGGTACGCTTCCGGTACTTCGATCAGCAGTAAACTTGCACAATTTGTAATGCCAAAAACCCAGAAAAATTTTACTGTACGACTAAGAGATGGTTTGACACTGAGCTGCAATTTCTGAAGGAACAACTTAATTTTTATGGAGGGTATATATTACAGCATTGTTAAATGAAGAATGCAATTCCGAGACCAAACAAATCAGTGAATATTCTACAGTCTATTAACAACTTGTGGGTTATGTAACTAGCGTTTTTTTTTTTTAGTTAGCAAACTTCTGCTCTTGATGGTTGAGATTAATACTGCTGGGAATTGGAAGTTCTTTGAACAGACTAGGCAGTCAATAACTTCGTGCAACAGAACATGGTGTGCTGTGACATTTTCCTGCTTCTTATTGCAGACAAACTGGCATATTTATGGTGACGTCATGTACGGCAAACACACTGTATACTGGAATAAATGCCCTTATTAATAAGTAATTCAGGAAATCTTTCATTGGTCCTAGGCTGGATTTAGCCATAAAATAATATGCAGAATTTTATTACACCAGGCGGCGCCAGTGGCCTTGAAAAAACCATCTTCACCCAGCAGGTATTAATAACGAAGTACAAAAATAAACTGAATTTAATTACTTTTCGTATATGAACTGCTGTCTTGTATGGAAGTATGACAGTAATGAGCTGCTTGGAACGTAAAAAATAATCCAAGCAGTTATTACTGCTTCAGGAGGTCACTATATATGCAACAATTTAAAATACAGTATACAATACAGTTCTGTACTGTTTATTTTATGTTTGTTGTCGTGTTCTATACATATTCAGGAACAAATGAGAGAATTAACTTGGTTTCTGTGAGGAGCTGCACAACAAATGCAGTGTGTAAAGGGGTATTGCAATGTATATTACTGTATTTAGATTAGTTGAGCAAAATACAGTTGAGCAAATATATTGTACAGTAATATAGGCACATACTGCATTAAATTTACCAGCAATTGAATTGCCTATTCTTTGAAAGACACATTTGATCCGACTTGATTTTCAAGATAATTTGATTTATTTACGAAGCGATTTTCAAGCCTATTTGGTATTTGGTTATTGTTTAACATAAAATCATTTGAGTTGAATTACTGTACAGTACTGTATTATCTATTCCACCCTATACAGTACAGTAGTTTGACCAGCCGAATTAAGTCTTGTTCTGTACAGTAAAAGGAACAGGAAAAGTCGAGTGCTCTATTTTCCGTCATGTCGGCGCACTGCATCGCGTCGCAGTGTTATTATCTGGGATGCGTCGGAACTCCACTTACGCTGGCGATTTTGGATTCAGTTCTCGCAACCATTCGCGGGAAAGGATGGATTGCAAGTGATTTGAATTTCTCGATCTGTATTTCTGCTAGCCTTGATATTTTCTTCGGCTTTGACGAGTGCGCTTGGCTGAGAGTAGTGGTGAATCCGTTGGCGAAGAAAACTCCTGATTTTTCTTGGAATACGGCGCAATTCGGGTTTCCGGCATCCTGAATATGGAATCGTTGAGTTCATCGTGGGTTGCTTGTGTGTGCTTCAGATTATCAGATCGCGATGGGCTCAGTTACGCCGAGTTTCGTGCATGAATATCACGGTGGTTGTGATATTCTTTCGCATCCTGTGGGAATAGTGTAATTTTTAGAAGGAAGTCATCTAGTGGAAGCCTTCGCGATGCCGCTTCCGAAGCGTGTTGTGCAACCCGAGCACGTCGCTCGAGGAACTCTGATCCCCACTGATGAAGGTGTACCAAATGAGCTGGAGGAGGTGACGAACGGTACTCTGGCAAACGTGATTCGCCAACTTTCCAGCCTCAGCCACTTAGCTGAAAGTATCTTCAGCGAACTGTTCAAGGAAGCAAGCAACATGCATGTTCGCTGTTCGCAGTTACAAGTGCGCGCCGATAAATTATCGCTGAAGACAACTCAGTTCGATAGCAGCGTCGAAGAAGGTATTATCGTTTTTTAGAATTCACGTGTGTGACTTACGACCGACATCTTCATTTTCAGTTACTTTGCAAGAAACTCACATGAGGAAAGCTTTCCGCAGCAACGCTACGTTTGATCAACAAGTCGTTTCCCGAGCTTCCATGCCTTCGTCATTGCTGGAAACGTACATGCGATGTGATAAACCTCCACCCCTGGATAAACTGAATCCTTATAGGTACATCGGTTGTTTAACTTGTATTGTTCAAGTTTTCGGTTTGATTCCATGAATGTGTTCCTGAATCACTAGGGATGATGGAAAGGACGGTCTGAAGTTCTACACGGACCCGAACTATTTCTTTGACCTTTGGCGCCAAGAAATGCTGAAAGATCAAGACAGGATTTTGCATGAAAAAGGGAAAAAGGTATGTAGTTGAATGAACTGTATTGCCTAGAGTTCGATCTTAAATTTATAATCTTTGGATTATTTCATCTTTCGCGTCATCTGTGCGTACAGCATATCTCGGGAACGACGGCTGTCACTGCTGTGGAGGCAAGGGCTTTTAGTTACTTATATGTTGACTGCATCTTGCTTAAGTTTTACATATATTTTTTGACTGCACCACGTTGCAAGTGCATGTCTGTGTGTATGCCTCGTCGAAGTTCGACAGGGGAGTCTCGTCTTGGTGGGCGTGTCGATTGTGACCAGATGGGTGGCGCGAGGTTCTCTCGTTTACTCTCTGTGAAAACACCTTATTCAAATATCCGGAGTAAACTCAGTTCCGTGTAGCCTACGTTATCTTTGCACGATTTCTGGGTGCGGTATGTGTGCGTCTGTATGCGTATGAAATATGCGCACGCATCCTTATTGAGTAAGTGCAAGCTGCGACGTGATTCATAAACACGCTGCGTGTTTTTTATTCGCTAATCTGAATGTCGCCTAGTCTGACGTCTGATTTTCTTTCACGTTCAGTATAATTGATTGTTAAGGTGATTCAAACCATCATGTTGGTCGTATTCGGCTGCTAATGCTTATGCTCTCGAGTAAAGATTTTTAATTCGTCCGGATCCATCTGAAGTAATAACGAGAACTCTCCGCATTTTATTTAATGACGCACTTTTTTTTTGATCATCGGCTTTCAAAATCTAGGTGTTCTGTAGTTTTGGTTGATTACATACTCGTGTATGTCATATTCTATGGCGTCATGCATACGCCAGTTGAGTACATGTTCGCCTATGTCCAACACGATCTTCAGAGTGAAAATTGAGTAATATTTCAAATGATAAACCATTCAGAACATTAGCAGGAATCCCGATTAGTGTGGGGATGTGTTCGAGGATATTCGATCGATCGTCGGTTGAATCAGAATGTGTCTTATTCAACGCGGTGAAAGTACATCGTCCAATTTATTCATTTGATTATTTTAAGTTTTAGGTTCAAAAAGAGAGGTGCCTCTCATAATTTATGTGTAGTACTGTACCGTAGTCGAGTGAATACTTCAATTCTAATTTGCTTGACGTTTTAATTGCGCCTGAGTTCCTTGGTTTTATTTCTGCCCTTTCTTGTTTTTTTTTTCATAACATGCTGCTCTGGTGTATACAATCTTGTGTTATTTTCTATCATATCTAGCCTCACAGATCGCGGTCTTCGGATGGAAGTAGCGGCGGTCGACATAAGAGAAAAGTTAGAACGCCGCAGAATACCCGCGAACAGCAACGACAGCGGGCTGCTGCTCATGGAGAATACATTATCAATACGCCCGGTTCCCCGACTGCTGCCGCCGCTGGAGTACAAGCCCAGATTTATCGGAGTCCTTCCACTGTGGGAAACCACGTTACTCCGACGCAGTCCCCGTACCAAAATCATCAAGATGCCGTTTACGCGGAAAACACGTACGGAACTATGCCGAATGGTGGATTTGGGTGAGTTCTTTGACAAACACAGATTCACTCGCCACGTTCTGAAGTAATAATCATGATTCAATATATATTTCATCTGGATGTAAGTTTTACCATATTCACGCGATTATGGGAAAATGTTGATTTTGGGAAGCCGCTTTAGAAGAAAATATGGATACGCCGCGGCAAATTTTGAATGTTTGTTGGGGAAAATCGCGGCTTTTACGGTCGTTGAAGAGCATCGGCAATTTTCTTGTCGATGAAATTTTGATGCAAATGTTTCCTTTGCTCTTCTGAAAAATTCATGCATTATTGGACGAATTAAAAAAATATTGTAACTTGTGAGAGTAGAACGCGAACTTCGAGTTGCTTCTGGGATTTCTTCAGCCTCTTTTTATATAACTTGAAATACAGTACATCCATCCCCATGATGACGAAAGGGGTTAAAAATTAATAATGGCTGTTGTCAAGTAATCTATGAAGTGTTCGCGTGAACAGCATCTGAAAATCGGATCTTTCCTGTTACGCGCCCTGTTCAATTAATCCTTGAATTTTATTATTTTTCGCCAGAATTGAATTCAATCCCAATGAGAGTGACATTCCCCAATTTATTGTTTTCCCACGCGCTGCGAAAATTTCAATCCGGGAATGAAGCTGTGCTTCTCAGGAAGTACCGACGCTTATGGAGTTATTTTAAGTACCCACTCCGTTTCATCGAACCCATAATTCTGGTGTGTAGATAAGAACATGTCGTGTCCGGTGTGTTCTCCTTGATCCAGTTTTACATACATGGCCCTTGGAAAGTTGATGGGGAACTTATCAATTTCGACTAAGTTCTCAATTTTGGCGACCATTCCATCCTTCAAACCTTGCATTGTTTTTACGATGTCGTTCGGGGTGCATCGTATTGCTCTTGAAAACTTGGTCATACCTTCGGCAGATGAAATTAGTTCACCTTCGATGTATTTTTTTCCCTCCTGTACATCGTGACGTACATTAATCGACATCAATCGACAGCTTGACGATCTGAAGCTACGCTAAAACTTTTTTATGCTTCGAACTTATCGTCATGGCAGCTATTGTTCCCCCTTCGGAAGTGGCTGTTTTATTTTGACGCCGTGTTGTGTTTTTCGTGCTATTTTCGGATAAAGATTACTTTCGATTCTCAATGGGGCATTAATTTTTCTGGGACACGGATCGTGTTTACGGTGCTAATTTAGGATGCAAATGTAAGCAAGTATCGAGTGTAATTGTAAATGTTGAAAACGAAACCTTTTCGATGGATTTTGTTCACTTCGGGTGGCGATCTGTTCTGCGATTCGTAGCGGAAGTGAAGAAACTTTCCTTTGTTCCTCAGGTATGAGTACCAGTATGGTACACCGCAGACATACGCGTATGGGCCTCCGCCGCCAGCCGTGTCTCCTCCACCGCCACCTGTTGACAGCAGGGTGAGCCTGCGTCCGTCGCAGCCGCCACCTGCGCCTCCAGCACAGATGGTGTCGACGCCATCCGTTGCACCATCGCCTCCGGCGGCTATGGTGATACCCTCATTGACGCAGTCACCGTCGCGAATGCGGACGAATTCGGTGCCGAGAGAAAACTTGCCACCGCCTCCGCCGCCGCCAGTGGCGTACAACGACGGCGCTATGTCGCCTGTGAAGATGGATGTGACGACGCCTCCACCTCCTGCAGATTTGCCGCCTCCACCGCCGTCGCCTTCGCCACCTTCTTTGACAGATCTGCCGAATCGTGAGTCTCGCACAGTAGTTGTACTTCAGATGCAATTGAAAAATTTTTAATTTTGGGGCATAAGTTTGCTTTAAAATGTTTCAATGTGCTTGATGCTATTTAGCGCAAATATGATTGAAGGGAAATTTTTTTCACCTTCAAGTACCAATATAGAATATAAACTACACGTTTTCACTTATTAACCATTTTCGCATTTCTCTTCATTTTTGACGAAAAGTGAGTGTGCTTTACACATGAGTACACATTTTTCTGCGTCCTTGGGTAAAGTTTCCCTAATTTCATGTCTTATAAATAGCTGCTCGCGTTTTGAACGATTATGTTTGGTAAATATGTGGATATGGTGAAATTCTTCCAATTTTCTGTGGTTTTAGTTGATGCAAGGGTTTTTAAGGTTCAGCATTCGTTGAGTCGGAAGTATGGTACATTTCCAATAAAATTGGATCAGTAATTACATGGTAACCAACATCAGTGATGTCACATTTAACCTTCCATATATAATGCCTCTGATGAGGTTTTCGGATAAAAACAAAACGGGTACCATCAATTGATCAATCGGAATGACGCCTGTGAATTAAAGTGATAACGAAATCAAAGGGGCATTTACGCTCACAGTCATTGAACTAATGACGCCTGGATTCATGACTCCATTGTTTCCCCTTGTTCGCTAAATTTCCTCGAATACAGTACAATGGTTTTAGGACGTTGGAAAATCCTCGGATCAGTCCATCCGTCGAAGGTTGGAAAATAACCGTACTAATAATAACCATTTCCGCTGACGTATTGTTGAGGCGGAATTTCTTTTCCTGTTGCAAGGCCGTAGTTCCGTTATGAAAACAGAGCAGTTTTGCAGTTCCTTGGCACAGGAGCGTTTTCAGTTTTTTTTCCCCCTCACCACTTGGGGAATAAGAACTCTTTTCTTCCTATGCAAGAAAAATAGGAACATATTCTTGGTAGTTTCCATGAAACATTTTTATCGATGGGTATTTTTCAAGATTAGAAATATATTAGGTTCTCCTTCGAGAATTTCCCGATTTTTGCGCTTGTCGCACTTTCTAATATTGTGTTCCATAGGTTGAATAGTCCGATAAATATTTGGTTCTGTCTGTGTTCGTATCCTACTGATGGAAGGCAGAAATTGTCTTGGATTTTTAGTAGTCGAATTCGAATTGAAGTAATCGAATGGAATGCTCGAAATGTTGTCTTCCAGCCGCCGGAATGTATAACGAAGGTCCACCGCCACCTCCGCCTCCACCACCACCACCCCCGCCGCCCCCTCCAATGCCGGAAATGTGTCCTGTACCGCCTCCGCCGCCACCGATGCCTAACGGTGAAATCATGCTGAATGGAAACGGACCTTTGGGCTCATCCCCGAAGAAGAACGATCTGGCACCATCGGTGAAACCAAAACCGATTGTGAAAGTGTCCGAAGAACGGTCGGAACTGTTGAGATCAATCCGAGATGGTAAGTTTTTTTTTCCTTTCGAGAAAGGGTTAATCACGCTGCTATTAACCCTCCCTTAATCTTGAAGTCGAATTTCAAGGGACCGGCAAAAATATTCGAGTTGAGGAGATATCGAGATGGGGAAACAAGAAGTTTTGTTGTGGGAAAGAAGGAAGAATTGCAGGAAGTTGTTGCTGGTAATTTTCAGGGTATTGAATTGCTTCTCAAATGAATTGACAGGATGCTGAACTTGCATGCAAAGCTTCATTTGCTTAATTAATATTTCACTTCATTTCAAAACACATACTGAAGTTACTTATTGATTGCTTTTTTTGTTCGAGTTGGTGAGGTTTTAAATGCATTGTTTCTAAGGAAATTCAGAGGGGGACTTCACGGACTTTAAAAAGAAAAAAAATCGAAATGGGGAGGTATCCGAATTCTGATGGTTCGAGTTATTGAGTTTCAATTTATTGTTAATGAGGGAGTTTAGGTTTTTTCATGTCAATCTTCATTATTAAATTCAGAACATTTCCTAAATTTTTTTTTTCAATTTTAGGCATAACTTTGCGAAAAGTGGAGCAGAAGCAACAAGAGGTGGAGCGGAAAGAAGCACATCCATTTGACGTAGCATCAATTCTTCAGCGTCGAGTTGCCATTGAAGCTTCAGACTCGGACTCTGAAAGTGCGAACGACTCTAATTACGACTCAGATGATTGGGAAGACCAGTCGTAAAATTGTTCCTGAATTTTTATGAGTTAGCAAGCAATGAAGTGGAAACAATCGAACAAGACATGCGGGGAAATTGCTGAGCTTTTTTGTTTTCTTTCCATTTCGAATGCCTACCCGTGATCTTACAGTATAATATATTGCCTTGAATCGATGCTCGCGCAGTAGCGATAACGTCGTTAGGATGTAAGGATTTTTCATCGTGCGTGGTGTGTTCGATTCGAGTTAATCTATTTTTGACCATTTTGAGTTAAAATCAAGTTTTTACTTGTTCCGCAATGCTGATCGTCGAGCTTGGTGCAGAACGATGTTGCATTTCGTGGAAGGTTTATCTGAACTCGCCGTCGCCCCGCTGAAAAAGTTGTAGAATTCAGGTCGACGTGTACACTGTGGATTGGAAGTCGTGCGAAGGCCAGTAAATTCAAAAAATTTTTATCCTAAAAGCCGTTCGAAACTTTTCAGCGTTCATTGGAATCTATAATTTGACAGATATTTTTTCGTATCTGGATGTTACGCTGGTAGTACTACATTTTTTTATTGATCTTGAAAACGACGAAAAGATGAGTCAGATACTGAAACAGTTCAAGATTTTCGATCGGAAAAATTAATTTTTTATGCGTCTGTGGACTTGGTTCATTTTGAAATAAGTAAGTTTTGTGTGGACGTTTCTGAAAACTGTAGCTAATTTATAGACTTCAACGAAAACCGATAATTTTCGGACGTCTTTCGTGGAGAAACAAGGTCTCTGATCAAAATATAAACTAAATACAGGCGGTTAAGACGCAGTCATCGCCGTGAAAACTTTTTTTTAGTAGAGAGTCAAAGTGGGATTTTATTTTTGAAACTTTTTTTCGCGAATGTGTTGCTTCCTCTTGCTTTTGCTTCGTGAGTATTTTTATCCCCCGGAAAAGGAAAGCGTTGATCGATTTATGTGGGAAACGTCATCATCCAATTGTTTTCTTCCCTTCTCACGTCTTCGGTGACGAAATTGTGATACGAGGGGATCGAGTGTAGACTTGAGTACGTGTGTTCGGAGTTGCACGAAGGAAACGAACGTCATTTCTCTCCACTTGAATGGCCACCCGTGATGCTGAATGCAGTTGGGTCTGAAGCTTTTGGCTTATCAAACCCATTATTGAATGTAGAACAAGTTCTACGAAAAAAAGTTTCAGCATATTTTGTGTCCTCTCTGAGGGGGTCACCTGTCACGTGCGCTGCCAAAAAAAGTCGCGGGATACATTCAAGTGGAAAGAACCTTACGAAGAGAAAATAATAATTTTCTGGACTTGTGATCCCGCGTTCGTGTTTGAAAGAATTTTTTTGGGAATGAGTGTTCGTTGTGTCGTCAGCTTCTGTAAGCTTGTCTAGAAAGATGGAAAACAGCGAGGGCGACGTGAAGCGATTGGATTATCTATTGCCGTCTTTTGAGAAATCGCGGGAAAATGAACACATTGAACCGTTTCCTCACATTTTTTTCTGATGGCAATCCGCTGAAGCGTCTTGCATTTCTTCATTTGTTTTCATTTTTTTTCGCATCTTACGACTTCTTGAGCGAAGTTTTTTTCCTGCAAAGCTGGTGGGCTTTCAAAATTTGCTACTAATGAATCAGTAATTTTTTTCTTCGTTTTTGCTTTGGTCTTCAGGTCGAAATTGCCATATATCGTTTGAAGTGTATCGGTGGGAATCTTTAAGTGTGGAACAGGGATTTTTCCTGCTTGCACTCGCCGGAAGAAATATTCTATTATGTTTACTTGTGTACCGCATGCTTCATGATTGAAAAAAATACGACTAGGCACATAATTTACACAAGAATCCATGAATATCTTTAATTGACTTTGTCAGACTCTTCCCTCTCTCACTCCTGGAAAGTACGTCTGCGTAGTGTAAAAGGAATTATTTACTTTTAGTCCAACGTTCGACAATTCAACAGGTTTCCTCAAGATTCATGTGGTAGTCATTTTCATTTTATATAGTAATGCAGATGTGGACAAGTTGACGTATGTCGACTCCCGTGATTTAAACCTAATTGGGTGTGGTGTTTACCGCATTTCCACTGGACGCTTTAGTTTTGGGAGTACAATAGAACATTTTATTGATAAATCCTTCAGAAATTCATGTCACCTGTGCACGTTGCGCCACAATTTTCTTGACTTTCTGTGGGCATTTTTTGATGGCATTTTCTTGGATTCTGAAATTTATCAACGCAACGATGTGTGATGTCCAGTGAATTTTGGTATTACGCGGGTCTTCGTTTTTCTAAATTACGGGAAGATTGGTACACAAGTAAATATATGTTATTTCATCGCTCAATTGCCATTCACTATGCAGGTGGACTCTCACCATCGAAATTCAGGGAAACGAAAAAATTATTTTCATGAATTTCTTTGTAGAGAACCCCAAACAAAAATTTTTTGAAAAATATCGATGATGACATCATCGTGAAGAGAGAGTCTATTTGTATTTTGGTCTTGCACAACAAGCGACTGCTGTGTCTAATTTTGGGATTTATGTTCTTGAAAGTGATTGAGAGATTGATTCATTCATCAAATATCAAATTCTGTTACTCAACGTTCAAAAATGAATTGATTTAAGCCACCCTCGTGTATGAATCTTCGCTCACGAGAACGAAAGATGCTGCTATCGTTGAGTAGATTTTGCAACGTCTTGTGATGATTGCCTATTAGGGATTGTGGAGGATGGAGCCCAAACGAGTGTTGGTCACTGGTGGTGCCGGTTTGGTCGGCCACGGAATTCGAATTGCCCTGGAAACTCGGAACTTGACTCTTCCGAACGAGGAATGGTTTTTTATCTCGTCCAAAGAAGCTGATTTGCGAATCAAGTCCGAGACGGAAGCCCTTTTCGACAAGTACCAGCCGACGCATGTTGTGCACCTGGCAGCGATGGTCGGGGGTCTCTTCAACAACCAACGTCGCAATTGTGATTTCCTTGTGAGTACGTGATCCTTGTGACGTTTATAATGAACCCCACATTTTGTCCATCTTTCGTTGAATGAGTCAATCCTGCAAATTCTAACGAATGATATTCAGGATGCACGTGTGTGTTTTTCCTTTCAGAGGAACAATCTGCTCATCAATGACTCGGTTTTACGAACTTGCTTCGAAAGAGATGTCAAGAAGCTGGTGTCGTGTCTGTCGACGTGTATTTTTCCCGACAAGACATCGTATCCTATTGATGAAACGATGGTGAGGATGGTCGAGAAACTTCGATGTTCTTGCACAGCTTCATCTCTCAAGATGTACACTGCTTTCCTGAATAATGGACATCTTTGAAAATGCAGTCGAACCTCTTCAAGTCGAATTTCGAAGGAAACGGCAAAAATTATAGCTAGAAACGAGCTTTTTTTTTTAGGGAGGAAGGGAGAATTACTGGAAATCGTAGTTGTGGATATTCTGTGCTTTGAATTGCTTCTTAACTGATGTGACTGGACACTGAACTTGGAGTCAAGGGTTCATTTGCTCAATTAATATTCACTTCATTTCAAAATATTGTACTGTGCATCAAATGAGATTTCGTGTTGTTTTTCTATTTTCTGTGTCGATTGAATAATAGCCAAAAACGCACTCCTCCCCCACCCCCCCCCCCCCCACCCCCCCTAAAAAAAAACCCCCCCCCCCCCCCCCCCCCCCCCCAGAAAATTCGAATTATGGAGACTAAAGAGGAAATGCCTCTGAGTTAAAGAGTCTTTTAATGCATTGTTTCGAAGTGAATTCAGAGAGGGAATTTTTCAAAATTTGACGTCTGGACTTTCGGGAGGTATTTGACTTGGAAGAGATTCGAGTTGTCGAAGTTCATCCGTATCTCTTTTTTTTCGCGAGTACAATACCTTAGTCTGTGGTCGATTTTTTCAGACAGATTATTTATCTCGCCTTATTAACTCAGATTTTACGACAGCGTGACAAATTTTGTTGCTGAAAATAATCAAAGTATCTTGATGAACGAAACTGGCAACATAATAGAACCCTAGTAGACTGTCTTTTAGTTCATATTTTCCTCTGCTTTTGTAAAATAAAATACCTGTCATGCAAAAGCAGATGTAGTAGAGTAGTAGACTACCAAGATTTTTAAATAGATTTCTTAATCGAAAAGGGGTTTTTTGTCAAAAGAAAGCACTCTGAATCGATTATTCTGTTCTGAAAAAGAATCTTTATCGCTCATATCCTTATAAAATGGCAGCACAAAAGAGAAAACGTAAGAATGTTTTTCCAGATACATAATGGCCCACCGCATCAATCCAACTTCGGCTACAGCTACGCCAAGCGACTTGTGGATATTCAAAATCGTGCTTACCATGAAGACCACGGTTGTAATTTCACATCCGTCATCCCGACGAATGTTTTTGGTCCGTTCGACAACTTCAACATCGAGGATGGACACGTTCTACCTGGACTAATAAACAAGGCCCGCGCAGCGTCTGCAGCAGCTGCAGCTGGCGATGAAAACGTCAAACTGGTGGTGTTTGGGTCCGGGAAACCATTGAGGCAGTTTATTTATTCCGTGGATTTGGGGGAACTGATGATACGGGTGTTGAGAGAGTACGATAGTGTGGAGCCCATCATCTTGTCTGGTGAGTTTTGGGAGATTTTTCGCCTCCTCCCTCACGCTTTTGTTTGGCAGTGTGGTTGATTTTAGTCCTCCCATCTACTTGAACTAGTTTTTACACTGTACACTTTTTTTAAAGAATTCTTTCTGGATTGAAAAGTTTGTTTTTTCTGAGCCTTGCAACATGATGGTCAAGTCTCGTTACGTCAGAGGGTTGCCGGGTGGGGCCCTTATCGAAACCCGAAGCGGCTAGGAGTCAGCAGGACGTCATGAATATGTATGAGCGATGTGTGTGTTGTAGGAATATTTTTCTTTAAAGTAATTGTATGATATCCATCGAATAATTCATCTTTTCGCATCGAGCTGTAAGAATTGTCAGATGAGATAATGTCGGAGCTGTGAAAACGGTACTTGCGAAAGTTTGTTCCTTATAATGATTTTTCGATTGGCTGTGTCTGACAGGGGAACGCCTGTCATTGAAAAAAGGTTATTGTCGTAATCGAGATTTCCTTTTTTTTTTTCGGAAAAATTTACCGTATTTCCTCGAGTACCACGCGCACCTTTTTTTTTTTAAATTGAGAGAGAAAATAATTGAAAATTGGTTGAATTCAGGATCGATTCATGTCTAAATTCCAGCTGGGGTGTTCTTATTTTTGAAAACTTGCAGTTATAGAGTCACTAAAAAACGGAGTTGACGTCTTACAATAAAATATATCAGTTACAATTTTATCTTGATTTTTGACTGGGAATTTGACGCGATTTTTGATTGTGTGCGTGTTACTTGAGTAAATTCGAGTATTCCGTATTGATATCATTTTTTACTACGACGAAATATTGAGTACATCTTCAATAAAAACGTGAACGATGTCACCCCAAAACTTGAACCAGGTGATCTGGATTTTTGAATTAAAATGCGGAATAAGTACAATACTCGTGTTTCAGTTACTGTATTTTAATTTTTTAGCCTCTGATACAGTACAAATCATGTTGATTGCGAAAATCCCTCCCAATTATTTTTAGATGGATTGTCGCAGTTGCGACAATCTAGTGATTGGTTTTGATGTACCGCACACTGGTGATGAAAACTAGGAGGTTTTTACTTAGTTGTTTTAGTTATTTAGAATTTTATAATTTTAGCTTGCTGTAGATGTTTGTTCAGCAGCTCCGGATATTTTGAAGTCCTCAGCAGAGGTAGAGCAGTCGTAAATTGCCCTCTGAAGTCACACTCAGAGAAGGCAGACGGTTATCCAGGCGAGATAAAAATAAACCGAAATGCTTCAGGTTGCAATGAAGCAAATAACTTTATTTCGATTTAAATATTTTCAAGAGCCAGCTCAAATGAATCTTAGGTTCCGCTTTTTAGATTGTGTAGGCTATACAACAATGAGTAGCGGATTACTGATCCTTTGAGTGCACGATACGCGTCTCTGCCTGATAAAACAAAAACACATAATTGAGATTAATGTACATGTAGATCAAGACACTTTTCCCGAGAAACACAATCATGTACACTCGAATAGGGACAACGCGAATTTCTCGAGGGAAACACAGTGGGTTAATTCCAGCACAAGCAGGAATTTCCACTGCTAGCTATGTTCTATAATCCGCGAGGTAAATTAAATTAAAAAAAAGGAAACAACACTTCAAGTCAAACCCAAGTCTCTTTTTAGGGCCAAAGTTCGAGAGCAGCATCTCCTTCAGAGATTTTTCCAAGAATGACCAGAAGGGTCTGAGAAGAGGAGGGCAATCCTACAGATCAGCCCCCTCTTGTGACTTAATACCCCTTGCAGCTGGTGTTTTTTGCTGGAGTCTGGAAAAACCCCAGCAAAATACGACACCAAAACTTGTCCCAAGATCCCGGCAGCAGAAAAACACCATCTGGGCATGATTCACCCCTTGCAGCTGCAAGGGGTGTCACCCCACGTGCACAAACAAGGAGCCACCCTCTGTCTCCAAGACAGGAAGTTTCAAGAGTATTACATTTCAAATGTACAATAACAAATTAACCCTGGGCCTTGGAAACTCCTTTTGGGGTTTTCCAAAGCTTGGGGTAATTTTTGCTAGAACTAGATAATTGAATAATTACACATGCAGAAATCAACTGTCAAAAAGCCTCCCTGTTTCAAGTGACTTTACAGTCTATATACAGGAGGTCCTGATCAGTAAGGCTGTGCTTTTTTAGCTTTATACGAATAAACACTAACCCTATTCCCAATTTCCACACATACTTTTCTGCTAATGCAATTTTGAACACATGGCAATAATTTCCAAATTTTACATTTCAGGTTCATCTGGGATTCAGAAGATTCCCAGATCTCTGGAGATAAAAAAGCTCACCAGCTTCAATGTACGATTTCTTTGAGCAGGAATCTCAAAAACTCATCTCATGTCCACCGTAATATTTTACCTGCGATTTAGACATTAAAAAGTCACTGCAATCATGAATCACTGAAAAAATATGACAACAGTTCCATAAAGTCAGGTGCTTTAAGAAAATAAATCAAAGGGTAACCAAACAAATAAGGAATAATAACTCTGGCTGACAATTTGCATTGTTTAAAAAATAATATATGCTCTCTTGAATTAGTATTTTCTTTTGTTCATGGAGTACTGTAATTATTTTGGAAGTGCTTTGAGCAGCATCTCCTTCAGAGATTTTTCCAAGAATGACCAGAAGGGTCTGAGAAGAGGAGGGCAATCCTACAGATCAGCCCCCTCTTGTGACTTAATACCCCTTGCAGCTGGTGTTTTTTGCTGGAGTATGGAAAAACCCCAGCAAAATACGACACCAAAACTTGTCCCAAGATCCCGGCAGCAGAAAAACACCATCTGGGCATGATTCACCCCTTGCAGCTGCAAGGGGTGTCACCCCACCTGCACAAACAAGGAGCCACCCTCTGTCTCCAAGACAGGAAGTTTCAAGAGTATTACATTTCGAATGTACAATAACAAATTAACCCTGGGCCTTGGAAACTCCTTTTGGGGTTTTCCAAAGCTTGGGGTAATTTTTGCTAGAACTAGATAATTAAATAATTACACATGCAGAAATCAACTGTCAAAAAGCCTCCCTGTTTCAAGTGACTTTACAGTCTATATACAGGAGGTCCTGATCAGTAAGGCTGTGCTTTTTTAGCTTTATACGAATAAACACTAACCCTATTCCCAATTTCCACACTCCCCCTGGAACCGTGTGAGGAATTACCTCTCCGGTTTCCAAGAGTCTCTTTCCAAGATGGAGGATTCAATGACAGCCACCCGATTAGTACCTCTGATAACCTCTTCTCCATTTGCTTCAATAGTTACCTTACGTACTACTCCATCAGTGGAAGGGTGCACTTTTACCACCTTTCCAGGTACCCAGTGCCCTGTGAAGGCATTTGCTCCTCTGTCATCAATTAAGACTTGATCATTAACTTTCAATTGAATCAGGCGTCGAGGTCCTGTACAACGTTCTGAACTGAGCATACTGATGTAGTTTGCCCGCCATTTTTTCCAGAACAGTCTTTCAGTTTCACCAATGTCCTGCAATAGACGGATGCTTGAGCCCTCAAGTTTACCTGCTCGGGCAATCGACCCGGTAGGCTGCAGGATCATAGCTGGTGTCAAAGCATTGCCTTCATCATCTATAGCCAATGGTCTTTTGTTTAAGATGGCTTCAATGCGGACTAAAAATGTTTCCATAACCTCATATGACCAACGCTTTTCTTTTGTGCAATGGGACAGGCATTTTTTGATGTCCTTTATCATGCGCTCCCAAGAGCCACCCCAATGAGGTGAGCCTGGGGGATTAGTTTTGAACTCTATTCTCCACCGAGTGGCACATCCATTGATCACCTCATCATAATAAATTTTATTGGCTTCTTTTGATCCTGCAATAAATGCAGTACCACAATCGCTCCAAATCATGTGAGGTTGCCCACGGCGGCAAATGAAGCGCTGAGTGGCAGACAAGAACTTTTCAGCACTTAACCCATCGCATACCTCTAAGTGTATGGCCCTGGTTGTTAGACACATAAATAGCAATCCCCATGACTTTGACTTTCCTTTTCCAAGAAATGGACCAAAGTGGTCAACTCCACAATGATAAAATGGTGGCTTTCCTTCTGCAAGCCGATTTACATGCAGAGGAGCCTTGATTGTCTTTACCCAGATAGGGTTTTTCTCCCTACATTCAGGGCAGTAGAACAACTCATGTTGAATTGAGCTAAGCATATGTTGAATGAGGTACTTTTCCCTTAAGATAGATAGGACAATTTTTGGCCCAGCATGGGCATTGCGATAGTGAGCATCCCTGATAATGAGATGCGTTATTGGAGCTTTGCTAGAAAGTAAAATGGGATGTTTCTGCAAAAAGGGGAGGCCTTCTGCATTTTCCAACCTTCCTTGGTCTCGCAGCAACCCATCATCATCAATCCAAACCATCCATCCTGAAAAAGGACCGGATTTCATCAGGACTTTGCCCTTCTTGGCCATTTCATATTCAGCTGCAAAGAAACGCTTTTGAGACTCGCGAACCAGATCAAATTCTTTATCACGGAGCAATTGTAAGTTACTCCGATCAGGGTTGGGAACTAGATCCACCAAGAGGTTTAGGTGCTGAAATGGATCATTCTCTTCTGATGTGGAAAAGAGGCCTTCCACATTTTCTTTCACCAATTTCAACTCTTCTTGCCCATTGCCCAATGCCTTGGGCTGTGGGGGCCAGTCTTCCTCCTTTGACTGGAGAAAGCCTGGGCCTTGGAGCCAGAACTCAGAGGATTTCAAAAAATCCGATTCATTTAATCCCCTACTGATTAAATCAGCTGGGTTATTCTTGGAGGATACATGCTTAAATTCAGAAGTGGCAAAACTCCCGTGCTGCTTCTCAAGAAATTCTTGGATTTCTCCTATACGGTTTGCTACAAAGGTAACATACCTGGAAGCGGGGTTCCGTAGCCAACCCAAGACTACCATACTATCTGTCCAAAAGACAATCCTGACAATCTGAACTTCAGTCAATTCTTTAAGCAAGTACTCAGCCAAACGTTTGGCAACCAGACAACCCTGTAGTTCCAGACGTGGAATTGAGATGGGCTTGACTGGGGCTACTCGAGACTTTGCAAAAACCAGTTTAGGCTTGGTGCCCTGGCGCAGATAAGCAACAGCTCCGAATCCTTTCTCAGAGGCATCACTGAAAATGTGCAACTCAACAGGTTGGCTCAGTTCAAAACCTAGCCACCTTGGTATTTGCAAAGTTTTGACACTACAAATTCCTTTCATCCAATTTTCACACAAACGTTGCATGGGCCCTGACAAGGGTGAGTTCCAATTCTGTACAAGCGTCCAAGCTTGTTGCAAAATACTTTTGCCTGCAAAATTGACAGGGCCTAGAAAACCCTTTGGATCAAAAAGGGAGGCAAGTACTGAGAGGTACTCAGCAACTGTTAGAGATAATTCATTCCCCAAACATTTCCCTTCTGCTGATATTTCTTTTCTGCAGGAGAACCCAAATTTGTCCTCTTCAGGGTTCCAAAGCAACCCTAATGCCTTAGATAACTTTGTATCCCCAATTAGCTTATCAGATACTTCCTTTCTATCATTTGGAATACCTTTCAGAACTTGAGGATAATTTGATTTCCATTTTGTCAATGTGAATCCATGTGCCAGCATGGACTGATCCAGCAAATTAACTGTTTTAGTAGCTTGCTCTATTGAATCAAAGCCAGCATACAGATCATCCACATAAACAGAATTTTGCGTAATCCACTGAAGAGTAGGATTGCCAGAACGCATACCAACTTCTTTCATACAATAATTTGCCACTGCTGGGGAGCAGGTGGCGCCAAAGATATGGCGATTACTTACAAACCACCGCTCCCCCTGTGCAGGGTCTTTAAATACAAACATCAGTTTTGACCTGTCCTCAGGTCTTACTCTGATCTGAGGGAACATCTCCCTGACATCAGCATTAACAACAATTTTTCTCAGGCGGAAACGCAGCAGTACACCCGTAACAGTGGGCTGTGTCTGTGGCCCTTTTTTGAGCATCATGTTCAGAGAAATACCACTATTTCTAGCAGCTGCATCAAGTACCCGACGAGGCCGATCTGGCTTGTCAGGATGGGCAACAATCATCCAAGGGAGCACCCAGTGCTCTTTCATGCCCAGAAATTCCTTCCTCTCTGCTGCAGAAATCTCTGAAATATATCCCTTAGTCACATCCTCGTCAAAACCCTTTCTAACAACTTCTAATAGCTTAGGGTTTCGTTTGAGGCGCTGAGACATACTCTCGGCCCGCCGCATGGCCTGGCCAACTGACTCAGGGAAGCTGGGCTTAGAAACCCAAAGCATCCCCACTTCAAAGTGCCCCTCTTTAAATTTCAACTTTTCCTTCATCTCCTTCAGGTCCTTGACTTGGTCATAATGCAAACCGTCTTCCGGGACCTTAACTCCAATCTCTTCCAAGGCACTAAATTTGCGGAACTGCTCAAGCAATGCAGCTCCAACTGGAGCCTCTTCAGAAATTGAGTATTCAGGCAAAAGAGGGAGGAGAGAACCATCCGCATTGCTTATGCTGCCCGAGACCGTCCACCCTAGGGGTGTTTGGTATGCTAGCACTGATCCATGAGAAATGGTTGTGCCCTGTTGGGGCATCATGAGAATTTCATTGTCAATACCAATAATGACTTGCGCAGGCCCAATAGCGTTACTGTTTATTTTGACTTGCGCAAAGGCTGGCTGCCTGCGTATGTACTCCTTCCAATCGATTTTGATCATGGGAGTAATCAAATCCTTGACTGCAGCAGCATTTTCAGCCACAAACCAAACTTTCTCACCTGCTCCTTTGAAAGAGAAGTCCACATTTCCAACAGCTCTTTTAGAGACTCCAATGGCTGTCTGGACTAGTATTTTCCCTTCCGCTTTTGCAACCAAACCAATTTCTCTTGCTAGGCTTGCTTGAATAGATGTTCGGGCACAGCCAGGATCAAGTAAGGCTGGCACCCGCTTAGTAAGCCCTTTTGGGCCCTTCACATCTAGAGCAATGAGACGAAGAGTCTGTTGGGTTTGGAAAGGAGTTCCCAGAGTTTGGGTATTCATAACTGGAACTTCAACAATACAATTAATTGGTGCATCAGCAGTTTCTTTAGAAGACTTCAGAGTCTTATAGGATGGCGCCCCATGTAATAATGGGTGGTGCCAATATTTGCATGACTCCTCAACCTGACATTTTTTCCCAACTGAGCACATATTGCGAGGGTGCCTTCGCAGGCAATTAAAACAAATCCGAGCTTCATGTGCCTTAATCATGCGATTCTCAAGGTCCAATTTGGCAAATATCCCACAGAGGTCCAGTGTATGCTGTTCTTTGCACACAGAACACTCACCCTTTGATTCAGGTTTTGGTTTCACAACTGCTGTTTTGGGAGGTTTTTCTACCTCAACTGGGGCAGCAGTTTCTACTACCGCAAACTTACCCTCCTTACCAAACCGTTTCTTTGGCTCAGCTTTCTTTTCAGAAGGCACTGGTTGTTGTTCAACCAAATTCATCTCTGCAACCATTAAGGTGTTAGCAATTCGACTTATGAAGTCATGAAATCGACCTAACTTCTGGATGCCAGTTAACCCAGTTAAAGGGTGATCTATTTCCCTCTCAACCCATTCCAACAGGCGGGGATGGGGCAGTTTAGCCAAAAGCTGCTGAACCAAGCAATCAAAATTTTCATTTGGGTGAGCTCTGGCAAATTGTATCAGGGCTATCCCTACCAAATTAGCAAAATCTTCCCAATCACCTGCATGACTGGAGCGCAAGGGTTTGGCTGTATTCAGCCTCTGCCTTATTACAACTTCTCGCAAAGGTACAGAATCATACCTTCGGTCAAGTATTTTCATAGCTTCAAGGGCCGCTCCTTCAGACCCCTCCAAATGTTCAATTGTGGCCAGAGGACGGCCTGCCAAAAGTTCAACAATATTAGAAAACTTATTGGTTTCAGAACACTTGGGATTATTCAAGTACGCATTGAACATAAAATCTCGCCACGCAACATATTCTAAAATCTTTCCATCAAATTTTTTCTTACCCTTGGCTGGCTCCACCCATTCCTTTTCTGGCGGGGTTTTTGGAGCCGGAGCTGTGCGCTGCTCTATGGCTTCCATGGACCTTCTCATAAACTCAGTCCACTGCCCCATCATATTTTGCATGTGAGCAGTTAATGGATCTGAGGGAGTTAGTCCTTCATTTGGAGTAGCCAGATGTGGCACAGTCAAGGGTTTGTTTCCAGAGGATGGGGTAGATCCCCGTGTCCCTTCTGAATTTGAGAAAGGTATTGCCGGTGGCGGCTGAGTTAGATCAAAATTTTGGTTTACCAAAGGAGAGTATGGCCGAGGTTCGGCTGAGGCATTTTCAACAGAATTCCCCAATCCTTCTAGGGCATCTAGTGCCTGATCCACCTTATCCTTGGCTTCACCAATAAACACAACCAGATTTTCCAGATCATCTTCCTGTTCCTCGAGGACATCCTGGCAGTGCTCATCAGTGAGCAATACCTTGATTTCCCCAATCGAACGGAGTAAAGATTTCTGGCGAGCCATACTGGTTGGGTCTGCCAGCATTTTGGCAACAAAAATATCTATGAGGCGTAATTTGCCTGATATTAATTTTTTAACTCTAGTTGCAGTCTTAGTCACTGCTTTCAAGTTTTTTTCAGCATCAACCACTATTGACCCAGCCTGGGCAGAAGCCTGGGCATCAGTCAGAGTGTGGTCTTGCATCAAGATAGAATCATTCACTGCCATTTCATGCAACATTGTGACCAGCTGCTCCTTCCTACCTAGCAAATCCCCTTTTATTTTTAACCAATCATTTGCTAGGAGCTGGTCAGGGTTATTTCGCATTTTTTCACTCCCAAGAAATTCCAAGCGTTTTTCCCCATTTTTAACCCAAAATGCTGCTCTCTCTATTAACTCTTGCCCTATTTCGAGACTTGGGTTTGACTCACCAAAATAATCCTGCATAGCAGCAGAAATTTCCGAAGCTTTCCCAATTGTAGTGGCAAGGGTGTATTCCTGGTTCCCGAGCTGCTGGGGTTTTGTGTTGAGGGATGCCTGAACGTTTTCTCCTGACGAGTTGGCTGAAGATTCCGTAGTCCTTTGGGCTTGCGATCTGGTCACTGGTCCACTGATGCTCGACTCTGCCTCAGAGGAGCCAGTACGGTACTCGTCCTTGTCGGACATTTCCCGATTTCCACTAACACAACAGCCTTAGATTCGGTCTAGCCTTATTTCAAAGGACTTTAGTTCAGTAGCACAATTTTTTTTTTTCAACTAGTTAGCTTATACACCAGTATCTGGTTTCTTCAAAAAATCCGGTCCGAAGGACCATGCGAAAATCCCTCCCAATTATTTTTAGATGGATTGTCGCAGTTGCGACAATCTAGTGATTGGTTTTGATGTACCGCACACTGGTGATGAAAACTAGGAGGTTTTTACTTAGTTGTTTTAGTTATTTAGAATTTTATAATTTTAGCTTGCTGTAGATGTTTGTTCAGCAGCTCCGGATATTTTGAAGTCCTCAGCAGAGGTAGAGCAGTCGTAAATTGCCCTCTGAAGTCACACTCAGAGAAGGCAGACGGTTATCCAGGCGAGATAAAAATAAACCGAAATGCTTCAGGTTGCAATGAAGCAAATAACTTTATTTCGATTTAAATATTTTCAAGAGCCAGCTCAAATGAATCTTAGGTTCCGCTTTTTAGATTGTGTAGGCTATACAACAATGAGTAGCGGATTACTGATCCTTTGAGTGCACGATACGCGTCTCTGCCTGATAAAACAAAAA